TTTCTTAACGATTCTATCATCTACAGCAGAATGCATCATACACATAAATTATCACTATCCGAGGGATATCCTACTGTAGATACTGTAGATTACTATAGATTATACGTACAGTATACAGTTGAGATTTCCAAATTATTCCGTAACATTAGTATACAAAGAAATATCCCAAAATAGTTGGCAATTTGCCTACGTCTGTCATTTAAATGGCACTTTCAATATCAAATGACTTTCCACACACCCTGTACCGTACAATAGGCAAATATCGATTCCAATCCAGCACGAAATATTGCTGATTTGGCCTCTACGAATCTTCAAATTGTTCGAGTTTAGGATTCTTGAACAGACTTTGAACTAATGCTATTTATGCGCTGAGATGATATCACGTAGAATAAATCACTAATACTTGAGGATATTCATGATAAATTGGCACGAACTGTAGTCGAAATGGATTGCAATATGCGTACAACGCAATTTGCCAATGTAGTACAGCGCGATATATAGCCTCACTCGGTGTTCAGATTGTTCAAATAAAATAATTATTGAGACTTGAAATAGATGGTATAGCAACTCAAGATGATGCCTTTCTCAAATTCTTCTGTCGCCTAGGACAAATCACTACTATCTGATGGATATTTGTGATAGTTAGTACATACGTATAACAGCTGAATATCCGTACACGTATTACATTGCAAGATCATTTAGCACTGGACAGCCCAATATGTAAGATCGGCAAACAATGACTACAACTATGGACTACATCATTTTTAATTGCTGAAAATTGAAAATTATGAGGGAAAAATAAATAATTTATTACCCTGTTATAGATCAGGGACAACTATACTAAAGCAAGAAAATGCTGTACTATAAACTATAGAAACTGATGCGTACAACATAAAAGGATTTCATTTCCTGGTTGAGAAAGCATGCAAGCTTTCATAGTAGTGTACTCAGTACGCACGCCTATGAAGGCTATATTATTATAAATAAAAATGGTTTTTCAGATTTTTATGTACTGTATAGCCGCCCGCCTTTATGGCTAGCTGTTCAGCCTTTAGACAGAGGGAAAAGAACTTTTCTACTCCACAGACAACAGTAGTAAATATCCATTGTTGTAATGTGCTAGTAGGGCAGTCTAGTTCTGCGCAATTTATACTCCAATCAAGTATCATAAATCGACTTTATCAACGTGAGTACTGTAATTATCAATAACTAACAATCCGTATAGCTAATTCTAGCAAATCGGTCAAACATAAGTCAAGTGAAATAAGAGAGATCTCACAGAATTATCATGTATCTTTTTCTTACAAGTCAATCGTGTTAACGCAAGGTAAAAAAAAATTGATCTTGTCATGTGCGAGGTCATATCGTAGATCCAAGAATGCGTAGGATAACAATCAACACGCTATGCAGATGATTATATTGGTAATCTCTATATACGTGTTGATGAATCGATTGGCTTCTGTCTACAGAATCTAAATAGTAGTTTTGGGTATTAATACATAATCCTGCAAACGAGAAATTTCTCCTACTTTATATAATAGGAAAATTAAGTTTTGGCAATAGCAGTAAAATAATACCTAGATTAGATATGCAGAATTTAATTGAAATTGGTTAATTTCTATCCGCATAGAGTATAGCAACAGAATTTCCACCTTTCGCGATATGTAGGATTATTTCTTAAAATTAAATTCGGCTAATGATCTCAAACGATATTCATTTTAGTCTTACGCAATGAAAAAACAGTGGATAGATTTCTCGGAATATACTCACTGCTAAAATCATCGTAATGTTGTTCCTGCTATTGTTTTAAAACATATAAATATGCTAATGTACGTAAGCTAATGAGATAGTAGTCCAGTTTTATTGTAGGTTATCGATTCCATGTTACACGTTAAATATTGCAAAGTACATTGCCAAGCCGAGTCGTTATCGACAGGTCTACAAGAGTTCGTTTCTCTTCGTCAACGTAAAACCGATATTCGCCTATACAACTCCTTTAGTGTTCATTCAGGTGTATTTGAGGTATTTACTTTCTACAAAGACTATTTTGAAAGTTTTATATCGCAAACATCAACGCATGATAGTATAGTTTTAGCTTAAAATTATTATTACATTCCTCTATAAACAGAGGAAAGACAGATTAATTATTCTAATGTATGATAAACGTTTAATAATCTTCTGATTCTATATCATCGTGCTACTATAACTAAAAACAAAACGAGTACCTCAACAGCGATTGAGGTGATATTTTTCTCGCATGGTGTTCCTTAAAAATGCTGTTGTAAGAATACGTGTAGTCGCCGTAGTAACAATATTTCAAGAGCAAAAATAAATAGATTTTACAACTCAAGCACAGAAAGAAAGAAACCAGTTTGCTTACAAAAGCTGAGAAGAAATGTCTATTTCATTCATAACCAGTGTATGAAATACATAGTTATTTTATCTCGATAGATTGATGTAGAACCAAGTCTTGATATACCATACACAATGTCATGGCCTATATTTCCATAAACATCCGAGCAAGCAATAATATGCGTAGTATTTGTATACTGTCTATTGGCGAACGAGAATTATAATATATCTTTCTCTTATGGTGATTGAAGGTATGATAGTTACTGTAGCATTACTTGAAATATAGACTTTTATAGCCAACTGCTGCGAACTTTGTTATCATAACCTCATTGAAACTTTTTCTCGGCATATAGACCGCATAGTTAATTCTACATGGACTATAATAGTAAAGGGAATAATTGAAATTTCCTTACGCTTTTGTACTATAATAACAGAGTTTGTTCCTTTCATATCTTCTATGGCCTCTTTATGTTTACTCTTTGCATTCGATAATAATAATACCTAGATTGTGCTTACGGTGTATTAAGAATCGATAGTTATATTTACTGACTACTAATTTAGGTATCTAATAAATTAAACTAAACTTAAATTGATTGATTGATAGAATGATTTCTTACTTGGAGAAAAGTTGATTCAATTGAATGCTTTATATTTCACTATTGTCAATGTGTGCGTAGAAACCAGATATAGCAGAATTATAAATGACTTTTTACCTACTACGAAATATATTTAATTTATAAATAGTGTTGGCGCGTACTTAAATGCCTCTTTTCAAATTTGATAGTTATCAGTAATTCTATTGAGCATTCATGTTGCCAACAATCATAATCTTATTTATCAAATATCGCATTGTGATGAATATTTTTATTCCGTAAATTTGGAGACGCTTTGGTAGTTTTTTACTATTGTTAATTTACCTAACGGTTTATGTAGGTAGCTGGTCACTTAGCATACCGATACTGCTATTTCAAATTGCGTTTATTTACGAAATTCTTCTAGAAATTGACGCAGTCTCCTAATTGCTTATCGTTTAAATGACGCGGAGAGTACATTGATACTTACTGCATTTTTAAAAACTTATTCAAGATGGCCTTCTATCAGCTTAAGCTGAAATTGTGGTAGTGGAAATACCGGTACTTATTGCGCTCTTAAATATTTATTAATAAATTTATACTGAATCTGATTGATGTTTTAGCAAATTTGACAGTTAATAACGTATTTATACCAAAAGAAATAATATACTGTTAAAATAAGGGTATATCAATACAAAATAATGAATAAAATATGCAATCAATGCCAACATCACGCTATTTTTATTCCACATTATTTGAAGTTAATTTTCAATAACGATCTGATACTTTGAGCTACCTTTTTTTAGAGTATTTAAAATGCACACATGCAATGTGACTTACATTTTTATGATCTATTGTAACTAAAGCGATAAATGACTATTTTGCCACGAGATATTATAAAACCAGTAGAATAAAGAGGATCTAGTTCCAATCTATTACACACCCATAGATGCTGAATATTTCATGAAGTATCTACATCGCAGTCCAGTTTAAAATTTTACAGTAAATTAAGCCGTTGTTTGTTACTTTTAGTAAAATTGAAGCGCGTATTGACGATAGTACTAGTGCTAATGATTCTATTTTTAATATCAAGGTGATCCAACTTTATCCAAATGCATAACGATATTATTCAATTCTCATGCTGTTGTCATTCATAGAGTTGTAGAAGAAAAATAAATATATCATACAATAAAAATATGAATCCGAATTCTAAAATGAGCATCTTTACCCATAGTGTAGGCTGCACTTTAAACTAAGATCATTATTCCATTTTTTGTTTTTATCGATTCCTTTGATCTAGAACAACTCAATACTAATTTTTGCTGTAATCGATTCACAAGTTAGAAAAGAGCAGTATTAAATTTATTTAATGTAGTAGGATATTAGCCAAGATTGAAATCTCTATTACACTTATTGTCAGCTTATTTCATCAAAGTTTCTATTTATTAAATAAATGTGCTCGTATATATTCTCTCTGTTAACAACATTATCGACAGTTATTACATAGCCTAATGACGTAGATTTTAATATAACTGCCGTCATGAGCGATTCCATACAGTAGAATATTGTTAGTTATTAATTTATCGTAACTTGACATAGTGCCGAATCCTATTATTTAAAAAATGAGAAAATTTCATATTCGGCAGGTGTACCGATGATAACCTACAATAATGGCTTGTATGAATAAGCGAGAGAGAATATAGCATCAATAGTCTGTTTCTATTTCAATATATATAGAGATGTATTGTATATACATATTGCCTTCAATACTTAGAATGAATTAATTATTATCGATTGAAAACAATACTATTAGTTTTTAATTTAACTAGCCAACTGTCAAGTCTATTGTAATATCTTCGTGAGGCTTCTTTTGTTACTTTGCTATTTATTGGAAAGAGTAAATAAACTTTTTCTATCAAGAAAATCCTTTCTTATTTCATAGTCAGTCTTATGAATTAATCAATAGTAATAATAATTTACTGCAAAATACCAGTAAATAGTTTTGTCATCGCTTATATTATACATATATACTGATATTTCAATCTACTTTGTCTCTTCAAAACAGTCACAGTCTTGCTTTCTAACGCTTTAAATAGAGCAATAGTAATTTTTTCTGAAGTTTAAATGTACTAACTTCCTACTATGTTATTTTACAAGCTGTATAAATTATCAGCCATTACACAATCAGCGTATAGTAATTTTAGTGTTGCAACTTTCTACAGGGTAGATTTTTAGCTGTTCACCAGTTTACTTAACGTTATTATCACAACGAAGTTATATTTATGGCAACTGGTCCTCGATATCTACATGTCCAATTCAAGAATTCACAGCTCATTTTCATACTTTATTAAAAGAGACATATCTACTATCATTTCCTGCTACTAAATTGGCGAATACGAAATTAATCTAAGAGCATTTGAATCATTCAATCAAGAGTGATAGAAGGTAATCTAAAATAGCGCTTCATGTTAATTACTCTAAATATTAATAAAATCCAGAACTTAATTCCAAAGGTGCCGCAAGAAGATTCAGAAGTTGTCTCTATTTGATTTTCTAATTAAATGGAATATTTAGCTACATCAACACCATGACTAGAAATAAGTCGATAATTTTCTTACTTTTTTGTTACTCATTATGTTATATCAATCGATTTCATTCCAAGATTCACTTTAAGTTCTAAACCTAATTATAAGTTAAATAAGATGGACAATTATTATGTTATAAAATGGTCTAAAAATTAATTTTCCTTCTCCAACGTATTGATTTAGTTTAGACAATTTCGACAAGATAGAACTTATACAGGCCCATTCAAGATGAGTGGAACTAATTCTTTAAGGTACGTTGTCAACGTAAACAATATCAAATGACCGACTAAGAAAATGCATTGGATTTATATATATACTCGCATACATATTAGAAAGTATGGTACCTGTACTTTCTCCATGCTTAGCAACTTACCAATAAGCTCTCAATTAACAAGTAGTGCAGTATTGTAGATAGCCATTTCGATGTTATGGATAATAATTGATAATCGCTTTAAATTTAATATCAGTGAACTGATGCAATGAGTATTGATTCTACTATTTGTTACGTCCAATGTTTTGACTATTTGGACAAAATTCACTCAATATCTACTAATAAAGTTGGATAAAAGAAGTTTTTAATCATATATTCTACAACTCATGTGCTACCTTAGTTAGAATTGCAACGGTGTCAATGCTTGAAATGCATCACGCTCTAGTTTATTTTTCTACTTGTTTCTCTTCTTATGGATCTTTACCTAATATTTAAGATAAAGTAACTTACTTCTCACGTTCATGCTTAAAGCTGTTATTTTTTTCATGGAAATTATTGAATTTCAGTTTTCTCACTGAATATAGACATACTACAGTATTATACATCAACTCTGAGATTGTGATAGATATTTATAACTCATTAACAAACTGCTGGCATTTCATGGTAAACTGTAACAGATTTGAAATTGATAAAGTATAGGATACTTTAGCTTATCGTATACAGTAATAACTTTAGTCGGGTATGAAATTTACAATCCTATTGGCTTTATCAGTGATCAAATTTAAGCAACTATAATTTTACCTATCTATTATTTTAATCATTAATGACTTTATCTAAACAGGCCAAAAGATAATGATGTCAACACGATCGCCAATTATTTACGAAAGAAAACTAGGCTATCGCCTAAAATTGGGCTTGTTTGTGGCAAAGGATTAGATGCTGTTGCTAATATCATACAGAAAAAGCAAGTCATTAGTTGTTCATCTTTGCCTTGTTTTCCATCACCAAGTAAGAATAACATGACATCTTAATTGTCCCTTGATATCTATCATAACATGGCACTGATACTGTCAATGTTGGCTGAAATTTATATGTAAATCTCAGCTCATTCCCAATTATATAACATGCTTTATGGTTATTTGAGTAAACATTAAATATTGCCGGGCTTCAATTTCCGCGACACTGCGACTACACTTATATTAATTGGTAGAATCCAACAGGAGGAGAGAGTAGAAACAGTAGTTATAGCTTACATACAGTTCAAGAATAGAGGCTTGATCAAGATGACCAAACTGATCGATTTCAAGTGAAATTTTTTGTCGGTTTTTACTTGTGATTATTCAAGTTTTCGTTGACAGGAAATGTTGGAAAGTGCAACATTATTTCAGTCTCCTATATTGTTTCTGATCAGTCATGCTGTCTTACACAGGTCTCATCATTTATTAGTTATTGTCCTATAGCTATAAGGCAGAAAATTCACGTTGAAAACAGTTATGAATTTTTTCCTTAGTATGCAAAACCTTACCTCACTTCATTTGATGACAAAAACGATTTGTAGCGAATTTTTTGGGAGAATTAATTATTAAATTATAAACGCTTAATGGGATCATATCATCTTTTTTGTTTGATTTTTTGATAATTAATTATAATCTATTCGTTAAAGTGCTTCATCTCTTACTCCATACTTGCCGATGTTAGCTAGTAATATATGTATACGTATCCGCTCAATAGTTTCAATTTTTTCAGCTTCCATCGCTTTCAGACTTGAGCGATTTGAAGTGGATTTTTTATATTGAGAATTATTAAATTAATTATAAATATTACACGCCATCATATTGTCTTTACTGTTTGATTTTTGATAATTTTAATTCATTCGTTACAGTACTTCATCACTAACTCAATACCTGCCCAAGGGTAGCTAGGTAATATGTGTATCTGGTCGAAAGTTATAATTCAATCAGCTTTTATCGCTTTTCAGACTAGTAAGAAATTTAAAGCAATTCGTGCTGAATTGCAATACCTTTTTTGCCAGTGTTTTAATGCCAATACTGCTATAATTAATCGCTTTATAAGTTCGATATGTATCATTCAATGGAATGTTAGTCTACTTTAGGATTTTACTATTGTGGCTATATCTCTTCTTGATCGTAATTATCAACAAAAATGTATAGATAGAGTGCTAGCACTCTCTGTATAAATCATAGGCTTTTTACTTCTATAACGAAAATACAATTTCCGTCCACAGCGAAATGGAATTTGCCAACGTTCGTTTTGGCATTATTTCAACTTTAACGGAAATTTTGACGTCAATCGCTGGAATTACGTAGAATTTTCACATGTAATTACGGGAAATGTATTAGCTTTCAGCATAAACAGAATTCCAAATAATGAAAGTTTATTAACCAGAAAATGATCAATTAACGGCATGAATAATACGAAACGAACAATTTAGCTCTCAATTTCATAGCAATAGAATTAACGTCAATAATAAGATTCATATAACAATATAATCATTCCATTCCAACCATTCTAATAATACAGCATTTTGATCGATGTCCTATAGCATATATAGTAGAATAGAAAATTGGCCATGACACAGAGGTAGTCGCACGATTGCATTCTGTATATGATTTTCAGTCATAAACAAAGATTAAATTCGCATTAGGTTATAGACTTATGATGGTTTGGTAATAAAGCAAAAAGTGGCGATAATGTACACCAAAAGACATCATACGTAAGCATTTCTGCCGTATACTGTATAATTGGATAATAAAACACTGACTACTTTTGCGAGTTATTTAGCACAAGCATTCAAGCATCACACTGCAACTATCTATATCGCACAAAAGTGTATGCAGTATTTATAGTAGTTATTTGCTTACACTATTAAGGCTAGTTTTCTAGTATACGACAACTCTTCCAAAACTGACACAAATTGCACACTGAAACACAGATTTTTAAACTAGTTATCGAATGCATTTGTAATCCTGTCCCTAAAATGAGCTTTTCAAACTGATATAGTTCAACTAGTAATTTGAAACATTTTACTAATTTACAATATTGCCATGGGAATTTAATTTAATTGCAACAAATGCTATCGAATGTAAAGCTTTAGCATTATGACGAGTCCGAAGCAAAATATTGCCTTAAATTATAGATGAATAGCTTTATGTATGTTTCATTGTGAAGATACACGATTCGTGAAAAGATCTATACTAATAATAAAGATACGTGTATAACTGGTAAATGAAAAGGTAGTCTGTTTAATTAGCTAAAGCACTATTGAAAATATACAGCATCACCGTTAAAATATGGAAGGTATGAGATAGGGATAAAATATCTGCCTCAAATACGTGCCCTACTACTCTACTCACTCTAATTATGACCAATTCCATGATCATATGTGTAAAGAATGACAACTTTAAGCTTTACTAACATAGATGGTATCGAAATGTAATGCAATATAATAACTATCGTATTCATTTTTGACGATACTAGAATGTAACAGTTCATTTGATGTTTATCAAAATTGATTAATTTACTGCAAAAGAAATGATAACTTTTGAAGATATAATTAATTTATGGTTTTTACGTATTTAATATATCTCGGAGTGGTACTATTGCGAAATCAATGACTTTTTTATTGTATTTGCCGTAGATTATAAAGCTACTTCAGATCATGACTTAATTTTTGGCCTGGTTAGTGGCAAACCAGTTATCTGTATTCAAGGACAATATCATATGTATGAAGGATTCTCCATTGAAACGGTAATAAATATATATCTATGCTTTTTGCTTATTTTCCCTTAATATGATTGTTAGCTTAAGGATTATTCTACGCTATAACTGGATCGGTAGATAGAATAAGCTAGACATTGATAACATATAGTGCTCAGCAAAAATGTTATCTAAATTCATCTATCTGCTGCAATATAATGCTGTCTTTCATTTTTTTAAAACAATCAAATAGGTTATTCTTCCCATTAAGATAATGTTCGCGCTAGGCGTGGAAATCCTACTTACCATTGGCGTATCTCGTAGTTTAAATCCAGACTTTGATATTGGAGATATTGTTTTAGTTAAAGACCACATCAACTTACCTAGTTTATGTGGTACAGATTCTGCCTGTTATGGTACTACAAAGCAAACCAGGTAAAGCTTTAAATACTGATTAATAATAAATGAAGGAATAACTTTAGATTTATTACGTTGATGACTGCTTGCAATTTTTGAGTATTTACTGTTCATTATTCAATTTTCATCTGTTCTCTTGACTATTGTAGGCAGTTAAATGGGACACCGATTGTAAAATCGAATGCTTACGATGTGCGTTTGCGAAGTGTTGTGGAATCATCTGCTAGAACTTGTGGAATAGGAGAATTAATTCGCCAAGGAACTTTAATGTTTGTTTCAGGTCCTTCTCTAGAATCTAACGCTGAACTTAGATTTATACGTACCCTTGGCATGGATATGTTAGCAATGGATACTGTCCCAGAGGTTACGATGGGAATGCATTGCAATATGCGAATTTGCGCTTTATTAATAATAACTTATAAAGATGTTGGCAGCGAAATTGGAGGGGATGTATCCATGGAGCATCAAATGTTAGAGACAGCTAGGGTTCGAATAACTGATTTGCAATCTTTAGTATGTAATGTAATTGGTACAATTACTGTAGAAAGCTAAGATAGATTATTGTCTGTCCATGGATATTAAATATTTTACAACGCCTCTATAGGTCAATAAAAATTCTTTAATTAATTACTATGGTCATTTTGTAAAATATATCCATCAGTTCCATAACACTAATTCATCATTATCCGTAAGTTATATTTTCTCTACTGCGCCATAAATCCCGTACTATAAATACGAGTACAATAACACTTCATTTTTGCTATACTGTCGTATATTATTATACAACTGTAAATAGCAAAGCTGTTATAACAGAGAAAATTTATGCGAAAGCATAATATGTTGTAGTTTTGCGCATTATAATTTTTGTAACTGATAAATAGAAGATGATCACATTAGACGATGATGCTTGTTAACTAAATATATATTCATTTAGAAAAAGCTATTGTATCATCTAGAATCATTTGGTGTACTTGGTAATGTCTGATATACCTATCCTACATATCACTGATTCATGTCATAATGAATATAATGTTTAGTCAGAAACTCCTTTAGTATATTTAAAAGAACCAAGAAAAAAATTTCATGCATTATTGTCGATGTTTTTTAATGAGCTATTGAATACTACTGACTAATACCATATATGCAGAATGATATGATATGAAATAAGAAAAAGTCATATCTTTAATGAATTACGAATTAAAACTATCTGAAAAGTAGTAGTCTTACGTATTGTAATTTTAAAGTTATTTGTGGATAGCAGCATTGGAATGACGACAATCTACCAAGTTAAAATATTGATATCTTGGTAATGCCAGCTAATTTTTAAGGCCTTGTAATGATTTAAAATTTTGATTCTTATGTAAAGAAATTCTTATAAATCGTCTGTTATAAAAAAAATACTACTTGCAACGAAAGAGTCTCCTAATGAATTTTGATCTAATATTATTTCACCACTTACTCGTATTTATAATCTCAAGATAGCGAAAACATATTTAATCGGAAGCATTACAGCTTTGTATGTGAATTACTCACAGTTTGGATTAAATGACGTTTTGTTATTACATTGATTGTAAAATGGAAGTTGTGCTTCCATATGTTTTGCATTGAAGAGATGGAAGTAGCTGCAAATATGTATAAATTGAAGCTAAGTAAGTCTCAATATTACTCAGTTAGTCGTTTTTATACTTTCAAGTAGATAATTCCTCTCTTGGCTGTCGAAATACAATACAGTCCTTGCTTACAATATCGCAGTTTATCCCTGAAGGTATAAGTTTTTAATCTAGTGAAACTAAGCAACAGTGCCAAGAGATGAATCAAGCAGTCCTTGCCTTTCCATATTTATGATCCAGTTCTAAGACAATTTAAACAGAGAGTGTTCATATAGACAGTGAAGTTTACTACCCTTTCTACTGCTGTATCCGAATAGTAGTGTAACATTAAGGTTGCACATCTAGGCGGAGTAAAAGTCTTCCAGTTACTGTGATGTTTCGGAAGGTTGAGAGTTCATCATTAGTCGCAATAAAGTACAATAGAATACTTAACGGAAGAGAAACCTTTATTGGGCTAGTGTAAGATTATCATGCGAGTAACGACGTGATTAGTCGAATAACTGTAGTAGTGTAGAATTGGTAAAGCGTGCAAGCTTACCGTGTAACTACCAGAACTAACTAACGAGATAGGCGAAAAAAGATAGCTTTTACAATGTTAGGAGCACAGCAGGAGGACTGTAAGTAAGCCTATATTGTAATATCACATCTTGTTAGCTAATATTCTATGCTTACTCGTTTACAGCTCATAATATGTTGCAATTTTTTTAGCCATTTACATATTGCCTAATCCAGTTTACCTCCTATACTTAAGCACACAAGGATCAAAATGCATTCATTAAAATGATACAAAACATTGAACTGTGTTATTAATATCTGGCTGTGAATATTTAAGAGTACAGTACATAGGCTTTGTAAAGGAATTTATACGAAACCTGCTTATCGATATAAAAGAATATTAGATTTCATCTAGTAATACCACTGAATTGAACTTGATTAAATAAATAATAAGTTGAGGTATTAATTATGCCTACTAAACGAACATGAAATCATTTCGAATCCAAATTGATCACAACCAACATAGATGCAAGAAGTAACTCTACCGTATTATATGTATTTACAGTAGGTAAGTATTTTCAAGGATTTAACATGAACTTAACATACGTGTATTTATTTATGTAAACTGATTGTTACCAATATCATCAAGATTACTGAGTACAAAGTCTAAATTTAATGAGCTACATGGTACAAGTTTGTTATTGGTTCCCTTTTGACTACGAGCAGTATCTGGCGATGTATCACATTTTTACCATCTTGGTACAAAGATATGTGACCAAGAGTCTTCTCAAAAATACAACACGAACTACAGTTTCTTGTAAACTCCACTTTATTACATAAGATCAGGTTCGTCTCATAACTACCAAGGACCAACTGAATTATCACAGCAATATTCACAACTTATATGCAATTATTTACACAATGATTTTCTTTCAAGCACAATCATATCTTACCAGGTAAGTTACAAGTTCACATCTAAATTTACCATCACGTTATCAATTCAAATTCATGCTTCTAATTAAAGCGTTACAATACAAATCTCATAGTACTAATATAATTAGCGCTATCTATTATTATCTCAGAGTCTTAATATAAGCATCTCAATACGATTACTACAACACATTCCGTAAACATCTTCCACAATTAGAAACTTATACAGTCTTATAATCTAGCGTACAATTTATCAATTTTCGCATTATTCCATAATTTTAGTCTTAAGCTTATTTGGGGCTTCACTACAAGATATTACTAGTTGTTATCATAGCAGATCTTTCATGTAACTTAATTTGTAAATGGCATATCTATTTTTATGTTAATTCTATAATTTTTAGCTTTCAAATTAGCTCTTAATTGCAATTTACATTCTTAGATAATGATTAAAATCTATTAATACTACTAGTTTCCTACACTCTTATTGCTTTTTTGGATAATGCTCTAATTGGCTGCAGTAGCATCTTTATATAGTTGAACAAAATACAAATTTGCACAGAAACGAACTACTAGCATTGCATCAGATCTTACTTACCTAAGACGGTAAAAGTATTTTTAATCTGCCATAAATGGATATTGATTGGTTACTATTGCGTTGATATCGCGACCATAATAGGATAAAAGCTTTCCTTAGTATATGTTATTCGTAAAGTTATTATTAATTGACGATTTTGTAGCTAAATAACCAAAGATTGACGAGTTATTGAACAAGAAATCCTATAAACCATTGTGCACATTTTACGATACGCCAACTGTGACTTTATCTCTTAAATTATCTAATTGGCAAGATGATGTTCCAGGTAGTTTATAGATCACATAATTTTTTAATAGGAAATTATTTTCCGTTCATCAGAAAGCGATTTCGTTCTGTAAGGCTTGGTGTATGTCAGCATATGTGTTTTCTTATAGATACAAGAAGAAAAAGAAAAAGATTTCATACTCAATCAATTGAGTCAAAGGTTAGGCTTTAGATCATTCCAATCTCTAGTTAAATTTATCAATTATTTAATTGCACTATTTTACTTCATTTCGTTGCTTATAAAGTCATAATATCAGGAAACAGTTACTAATATCACGATTTTGCAATGCTTTACTATATTTTATGCATTTTTTCAACGTTTTCATAAAGCCTTGATACTTTTGGAGAATTGAAGTTATCTACGGATAATAATTCTCGATCTGCTCGGGTAAGATTAATCAGATTATAATTGGGCTTGAGATGTGAATTATCTTACGTTCGGTCTCTTTTTGAGATATAAACGCTTAAGTGAAATAGCATAGCACGGCACTGTAAAACACTTAGGATAGTCTGTTTGATTATAGCAATTTAACAGTCTCAATTAAGACTATACTTTACATTTTAACTTTAGGCCAAATGTAGAATCATATAAAGGATAGCCAAAGTCGTAATTTATTTGTACGAGTATTGAATGATATTATCAAAGTACTATTTTAATTAGAATTATGATACAAACCGTTAAGATGAATTTTTTGATATTAGCTATTACCTATCGATAATTATAATTATATTAATGGCTTTCATAGTACGTAAAAGTTACCCCGTCGGTGAATATTGAAAAGTTGAAACAGTTATTTCTTGACCATTGGTTAATCCTTCAAGCTGATCTCTTGGTATGCATTACTGGTAGCACTGAGAAAGAAAGAGTCGAATATTGGGAAAAACTGTTTTACGAAACATTTTTTAAAGATGCTCACACCACTGTTGCCATTACCAATGGTATCCAAGATCAACTAACTAAAGCACTTGGAAATGCTATGAAGTTCAGATGGAACCAGCCTCTCTGTAAATCATCTTTATTGGGCATACCATTTTGGCATCAGATATATAACAAAGATCAGTTAGTGGGCGCCATGGTATTTACTATAATTTTGAACCAGTATTTAATCCCACCAGTTCTGATATATTATGGTTTTCTTTCCCTATTAGAATGAAGGCAAGTATCCAGCTACTTATACAAAATTACGTGAGAATGAAATCACTGATGGGGATGAGATGCCTTTAGCGGAAAATCATGAATATTATGTCATGCTAGACGCTAAAAATTGTTCAAAATCTTATGAAACTAGAGTTGGAATAATTTCTGCTTTAAGGGAAAATATTGCAAACACTTGGGTGCCTGGTAAGAAAATATTTATTCTAGTAATAGCTTTATTTGGGATGGATTTATGGAATCACTCCGATATATCGAAACTATATTTTCTTCTAGAAAGTTAAAATTTTCGATTAATTTGGTCAAATATCACTTATATTTTAGAATTTTGGACTGAACGAACTGGTTTAAAGACCGTTCCAAGTTTGCATTTAGTAATTGGTGGTGATGTAGTAACTCTTATGGAAGTTAATGCTTTGCTACAAAATCATCAAATCGTAGCATTAGTAAATTGTCGTGGCGCTACTGGGTTGCTATGTATGGCATTGAATAAGTTGCGCAATTCGAATTTGCAAAGGTGATAACTTATATTTTTTTATATCAACTATGTTTAACTTTAATTCGATCATAATGATTAAACCTCCAGGTTAGATTATGAAGGATTGATCTGATTTGGTAGTATATTAAGCTATGGTAGTATTGAATCAATATGTAAGATATCAATCCTTTGCTTCGTATATACGTATACCAAGACAAAAATTTTCATATATTCTATTATAGCCTCGATAAGGAGTTTGTCGAAGCAGTATTGACAAAACAAGGTTCCTGGCTAACTGGTGTTAGCCAACAGTCAATTATTATTGATTACTTCATGAAAATATTGGACAAATCGGACCTGGTATAATTTATTATAATAGAATGAATCAGCTGAAAGTGATATTTACAATATATCTATTTGAATTTTTTCTTGTAACGATAGGGTCAACATCATTATAACATTTATAATAAATTTTTATCATTAGGTTCATATCATTGACCCTGATCACTTTAAAGAAGATTTCTACAGCTTAGTTATTAAGTGTAAGTAAGTTAGCTTTACAAAAATTTGAACTAGTCCTTGTCCTTGATACGATTGTATATTTTTATTTAGTACATGGGAAAACAGAGTCACTTGTGCACAGCTTACGCCAGCTCTATCATCAGTTTTCCTAAATTTAAGCAAAGGATCGATATTGTGTTGCTGATGTTGAAATTTAAATATCATTTTACTGTTTGCTTTGATAATTTGATTGATAGTGTGCGGATGCTTCGTGGTTGGGTTATTACGGTGCATGATTATAGTAATTAATATGACTAATTGGAATAATTTTGAATATAAAATAATCTATTTTGAGTGTAAAGGAAGTGTTTGGGATGTATGCAACACTAGTAATATTCAGGGTTACTAATTTAAAGTCTTACCGCTATTAACATTGTTTATTTAATTATACTAAGAAGAATGATTTTGCTGTGAATTTAATAAAGTACACCATTGATTGATAACACTCACTGATTTGCGAGAATTTTTATGCTTGAGAAATGTTTACTATTAATAAAACTGAATGGATGTTAAATAATATATTAGTTACAGCAATAGTGCTACACAATACGAGCACATATACCATACAATAAATAAATAATTCAATAGTCTACTACTGCGTTCTCAACCATTGTATTATTCGAATTCCGTTTTAACTGAACGATACCGAGGTTTAATTTGGAAATCATCGTCCGAAAGTAGCTTCTGGTAGATAGCTGCTTAATGTGCCTCGTCTTGATAATTGCTGTAGTCCACTAAATTTAGTCTGTAACTGCTGTACTCACAGGAACAATCCTATATTTGCATAGCTTTAGAATAATTATGAAAAGAAGCCTTGAATCTATGAAATAACGATATATTCATGTTCGTAATTTCGTGGTGCGCTAATCCATAACTGACCGAATTTTATACCGTATTATTCCTACCTAAATTTTAAAAGAAGTTTACTACATTCATATAGGGTGAAATCTGATCGAAAATAAATAATTTAGGGTTGCACTCACGTATACAGTGTACTATACTGACTAAAATACTGTATCTTCATGAATTTTAACGCTCCTACCGAGATCATTAGAAAGGATGAAGGAACTCTTTATTACGATAGATGACAAACAGATTTTGTCATTAAATATAAACCCAATGCAAACAAAAGTCATAGTCGGATTTTTAATAACGAGAGGATAAATGTGACCTAGAAAAAGCATATTTTCATCGTAAATTGTAGCTATCTCTCTGACATGAGAAGAAAAATATATGGATTTAAAACCAATTACTTAAATCAATAAATCGGATAGCATTTGAAAAAGTTATTACAAAAAGTTAGATGGTTTATGTACAGTCATACGGCTAGATAGAAGTTCTACATCCGGAGAGTAAAGTTATTTGTTGCAATTCTCAGTGATGATGCTAATTTATGCTTGTATCACTAAACGCGAACTAGTGCAACATGATTAACTATGCTAACCTTGCCAAGTAAAAGATAAATTATAATAGCATAATTACTAAAATATGTATTTCATAGCTATTGCATTCATTACCCCATAACCTATTCTTAAATAGTGTATGTCATTCATAATACTGTCTATATATAACCATTATTTCAATTGTGATAATATACATTCGTTTTATACGTTCTCAAGAGATACATAAGCATAATGCTATCCCTGGTTCACAATACAGTCTATTAATAGGACAGAAGACTTTGTAAAGTCATTTCGGAATAGGCAACAATCAAATACTGAGCTATCTCTGGGCATTAATTATACTTGTCGAAAAAGTAATTTAGTACCATAGCCTATTAAATTAATATACAGTAGAATAACGCCAATAACGTATATAATCCCAAAATATGAATATCACCTTTTCGCTCGTCTAGAAGTATCTACCGTAAATACTGACGATTTACTACAACAAATGATAAGATTGACTACCATAGTTTTTCTAAGCGCAATACTTTATCTGGTTTGTCTTGGAAATCGGCTTTACCGCCTCGATTCCAAACCGAGTTACGGCGATGATAGAAATGGAAGAAATTTCGTATACATAATCGTTCAACTTCTATTTCACTCGCTATGGCACGATTGACTAAATCGTTGTCTTCGCCACCCCAAGAATAGCGAAACTTCTTCGTATTCATACCACCAATTCGATAGAAATCCGATTTGTAAAATGCATTAATACCGAAACCATACCGCTCCCAATATCCGACAGGATTATGGGGCCTAAAGTTACATGATAGTCGGAATACCATGGGAAAGTAGGCAAGCTTACCTTGAATGGTATGCTTACGAATATTTTGCACAAAATTATCTGGTATAGCTAAATGCAGATCAAGTTGTGCAATGATGCTATTAGGATCGGTTATGCTATTAGCAGCAGTTTGCATGCCTAACGATTTTGAGAAATTGCCGTTCATGTTAATGACGTTAAATCGCTTTAATTTGCTACGTTTTAAGCTGTTAACAATGTCCAAATCAGTACTATGAAAATCGACAAAAGTCAATGAGAAATGTTCATCTTTTGTTTGCTGATAAATTTGACTCATACGATCGATAAAATATTGGGTCCAGTAGGCTTGATTCATAACAGTGATTAAAAAGTGTACATCAACTTGATCATTCCAAGTAAATTTCTCCGGTAAGCATAAGGTATTTGATCCTTTGGGCAAGTATAAATATTGAGAAATTCTGTATATTTTTCTATCTTTAGTTGATAATACAAGTAAATCGATCAAGTAACGATGGCCATTAACACTATCATATTTCTCTTCTAAGTTGATTAAACGATGTTTCTGATACCTTGAGCCGAATTTTCGTTGTAATCCTCGCATATACATTGAAAGTATTTTAGTAGCAGCTTGGCGTCGAAAAACTAAGTTGCCTTTTAATTGACTACCATCCATTGAATGAGAAGTGGTAGAGTCGTCAGGATAGACGGCCGTATAGTAAGCATATTGTAAGCCAGATGAGATTTTCCTAATTTTTTTACCGATATAACTTGGACGATAAGGACAAGATTTGAACAAGTTATGCAATACTGTAGAATCAAGAGGAGGATAGAGTGTAAAGTTATCCCTAAAAGCATCTCTATGGGGTAGAGCTAAATTTTTCGGTTCAAAACGAACAGCATGACTGAGTAGATTGGTATAATTCCCCTCAAACTTAGGTCGTAAGTGTTTCTTGGAGATGATTAACCACTTGGAGGCCCATTTGGAACATTTCCAACTACATTGCATAAATCCATGGGTGCCAACTCCATGATTGTGGATAAAGTCGAAAAAATAGAGCTTACCGGCTGTTAAATAAATTTGATGCGATTGCTGCGAGGTATAATCGTTGAATACGTTCCATTGGCCTTTTAATGATTGTGCACCTTGTCCTATCCATGCCAATAATTTCACATTATTGACATTACTATCAGTCGATAGCCAAAATTCTGAATTGCCTGATGATGAAATAGCAAAAGTGTAATAATCGGTATAAGGTGGGACAATATAGCCGAAAATACGTTGTCCGCTATCTTCCGTAGTGATGCTTGCCTCCAAAGCATCCAATTTTGCTGTCAAAGTGGGCTTATGAGGAAAATTGTCATTTCCTTTGACATAATCACTTAAACCACCACATATCGGAGGCTCAATCCATTGATGAATCGTTACAAAATGAGCGTTATTGGTCATTAAATTTTCTTCCTCCGGTGCAGCTAGCTCATTCGTCATCATCTCGACGGTGATATACGAACTGATGATCATGACCAAGGTAAAAACGATACCAATAGTGATTTTGATCTTATTCTTTCGATAAGACATTAAGAACCGCAACATTCTTGATCGTATAGATTCTACTTTCAATAGGCTTCTATAGCATCACGCATAATGGATGGTATTCCAATTTAGGTTATAAGCAATTGATTTTCATACTTGGAAGAGAACGATTACTGACATAGCTTACGCCATTCTGCCAGGTAGCTAATGGAGACCGCTCGAGATAGAGTGAATTGACTCTGGTAGGCTCTGCAATTGCACAGGTTCACTTCCTATCTAGGTACTGAGCTATGTGTCAGCGCTTAACGCTTATTATAGAGTGGATTCGAGTACTGGCTAGTCGGGAGCACTGCCAGGACAGTACGCCATGCGTCCTCTGGCTGTCTTGTCTGTAACTGTATATAGTACTGTATGAAATGTGAATACACAACAGGGCTACAGACTGGCGTAGAATCAGCGACTCCTATACAGATAGCGGTAATTTTGGAAGGTGGCCGACCGGTTCTTGCCGGCCATTTAGTAAAGGTGGCCGGTTTTATAAGCTAGCAATGCTACTACAGTAGAATTAGCCCTGGCCCATCATTGCGCTCTTCTTTAGGACCTCTAATCATGATAATCGTTCTGAAATATTACTAGGAATGACTTCGTGAAAAGAGGGAGAATGTACAGTATTAACTACCTAGCGAAAGGAAGCATGCACTTTCTTTTAGTGGTTTCTAGTTTTACTCTATTAATAACGTCTATTGCAGTTAATCAAGCTTGAAGTTATTCAGCCCTTCACACGATAGCATCGCAGAGAAGTCATGCTGAGCCTATTACATTAGGATCTAGAACAATTATACTGCTGTGCCATTATGCACTACCATAGCCCTCGCCCATCATTGTACTCTTCTCTAGGACCTCTAATCATGATAATCGTTCTGATATGTTACTAGGAATGATTTCATTAAAAGAGGGAGAATGTATTAACTACCTAATGAAAGGAAGCATGCATTTTCTTTTAGTAGTTTCTAGTTTTATTCTATTAATGTCTATATGTTACTAGGAATGATTTCATTAAAAGAGGGAGAACGTATTAACTACCTAATGAAAGGAAGCATGTATTTTCTTTTAGTAGTTTCTAGCTTTATTCTATTAATGTCTATATGTTGCTAGGAATGATTTCATTAAAAGAGGGAGAATGTATTAACTACCTAATGAAAGGAAGCATGTATTTTCTGTTAGTAGTTTCTGGTTTTACTCTATGAATGTCTATTGCAGCTAATCAAGCTTGAAGTTATTCAGCCCTTCACACGATAGCATCGCAGCGAAGTCATGCTGGGCCTATTATATCAGGGTCTAGAACAATTTACTGCTGTGCTATAGCCCTCGCCCATCATTGCGCTCTTCTTTAGGACCTCTAATCATGATAATCGTTCTGAAATATTACTAGTGATGACTTCATGAAAAGAGGGAGAATGTACAGTATTAACTACCTAGCGAAAGGAAGCATGTATTTTCTTTTAGTAGTTTCTAGTTTTACTCTATTAATAACGTCTATTGCAGCTAATCAAGCTCGAAGTTATTCAGCCCTTCACACGATAGCATCGCAGAGAAGTCATGCTGAGCCTATTACATTAGGATCTAGAACAATTTTACTGCTGTGCCATTATGCACTACCATAGCCCTCGCCTATCATTGTACTCTTCTCTAGGAAACCTCTAATCATGATAATTGTTCTGAAATATTACTAGGAATGGCTTCATTAAAAGAGGGAGGATATGTTAACCTAATGCTGAGCCTATTACATCAGGGTCACGGACAATTTACCGCTGTGCAATGTAATAGGGTGAATGGAATACTTTGCAGTGTTCAATCCTATACAGCGTAAAATTAATCTAATGCAGTAAAATATCTACAGTATTTTGATATTACGAGGGTGGATTGAATATTTTGCAGTGTTCAATCCTATACAGCATAAAATAAGATGAATTAATTGAATACGGTAAATTATCCGGTTTCGATTACATCCTTGGCATAATGACGCTCTTCTCCCTTAAACCAGCTATATATAATCGTTGTAAAATATTACCAGAAACTACTTTAACGAAAAGGGAGAGATGGATGCTATCTCTTAGTAGCCCCTGATTGTAATGTAAGGGTGTCCGGAAAGTCTGGACACATCTTATTTAGTTCTGTATGAAAGATGCGTCCAAACTTTATTTCCAAATTTTGTATGCAGTAAGATCATGTTCTGGAGAATTTAATATCGCAAACAGCAATGTTCTGAGACGTTCAGGTGTCTACTGTATATATTTCAACTTAAACGTTAGATAAGGTAACAATGGGCGAAAGATAAAATAAAATGTATTCTATTGATGTCTGTCTGGGCTAATCAAGGCAGAAGATATTGCACTAGCTGGTTAGTAAGTACTTGCTGTCGTAACATCGCCTGTCCTGTAAAGCTACTGCTTATTACCTTGTAGTGTACGCGCCATAGAACGCGGGGAATCCTAGATATCGTACAATAATATTTACGGCTTATCTACACCTTATCTACTGTACTATTATGTTGCTATATGCTATTGTTATGAGCTAGATACCGCTTAGAATGTCGTAAATTTCTTCAATAGCCACAAAATTCGCAAGCGAATTGGCATAATCAGCAAAGAAATATATTTGGGCATTTCGCAAATTGACTAGGCATTTCGCGAACTGACTAGGCATTTGACTGGATTTCGTACTTGGACGGTAACAGTATTAAAGTTATGTTTGTACTAGAGCTGATTATTGTCGCAGTTCTTGCGTCTCGTTAACGTGTGTATGATATCGCGCTTGGCATGTGCTTCCAATAAAGTAGACTAAAGGAAAGTTCAAAACCTCAGATTCTTGATCTCGTTACACTTGCAAATACAACACAGTGTGTCATGATGGCGTGTTATTGCCCCCAACTGCAAGTTGTGTTTCATGCTTTCAGTTCGTGAAAGCAGGCAGATTGAATGATGTACGTCCATAAGTGTTAACCTTAAAGTAACTGCTTCAAGATAACACTCAACAACTTTACTAGAACGTCTAGTCTAGCCCTACGTTTATGCCAGCACATCATTTGTTTATTTTGAAGCTTTGCTCAATCCTCCAAAAGTGGCTCGAGCGATGTCGTCAATTTCATTCATTTGACTGCTACAAAGTGTTGCTCAACTCACATAATGGCTAGGTTAAGGGATAATTCTATCAATATCATTCACTCGGCTATGATGAAATGAATCGATTTTACTGTCTAGTCGTAGTTCAAGCAATTTTTAAAGATGAAAGTTAGGTGATTTGCAACCATCCATTTAACTCCATACTATAATATTAGATCTGGACTGTGGAATAATGGATTCAAATTCGTCTACTCGTCTTAGTAAATTAGTAAGAAGGAAATGACGTTAATGTCTTCCTTTACAATTTAATAATACAGTACACCACTACTTTCTATAATAACTGTCAACATTAGGAGTATTTGCATATTAATTTATCGCCAATTAATAAGGTGTTAGATCATAAAGGCCTAGTGAATAGCCCAATATCTTCATTTACAATTTCATAATACAGCACAACTTTATGCTATAACTGTCAACATCATCAGTATTTGTATATTAGTTTGTCGTTCATTGTAGCAATTTCATAATACAGTGTACTATTTTAGGCTATAACTGTCAACATCAGCAGTGTTTATATATTAATTTATCGTTCATGAATAAATAAAAACGCGTAGAATTAGTATGGCCTGAAGAGTGAAAAGCTGCCATATTTTAATCCAAGTCAAGTGGAGTAGAAATTCAAGTTGCGTTAAGCATGATTAACCCAGGACTCATTAGTACTCATTAAATACAGCCGCAGTTGTTTAGTTACTTCTTCATGAGAGAACTAGTAAATTACTAGCAGAAATACTACGGTAGTTCTGCTTATTTCTGGCCATTAGACCTGACCAAAATGCACGTCAATATCAGAAGTCTTAGCTAAACAACTTCATATCATTCCATTTCATACTACCTTCAAAGTCTTGGAGGGATTGAAAGTAGTATGAGATGGGATGATATGAAATTATTTACTTAAGATTTCTGACATGATCGTGCATATTTGGTCAGGTCTACTGGCCATGGCCTGGCGTCATTTCAAATAAACCCTATGACGAAAACCAAATACACCGTTCTGAACGCCTTTATTTCGTATATTGCGATTGTGTACGTTTGATACTAGTATGTATTAAGGATTTGCTACACTCTACTCAGGAAATTTCACCACTGTTGACCCATTCAATCTTTATCATTAATTAGAATTAAGTAAGTACAAGTCCCTGGTTGAACGTAGTCGCATTTTAATTTAGTAACTGAAATATATTTTGTGAAAAGTGATCTAGTACGCATTAGATATTCAAAAATTTTGAAAATACTATATGAGTAGTTAAAATAATAATCCAAGTCCCTGGTTGAAAACAGTCTAATTTTAATTTAGTAACTAAAACATATTTTGTGGAAAGTGATCTAGTACGCATTAGATATTCAAAAATTTTGAAAATATGATGTGAGTGAATTAAAATAATAATCCAAGTCCCTGGTTGGACATAGTCTAATGTTAATTGAGTAACTGAAAGATATTTTATGGAAAGTGATCTAGTATTAGATATTCAAAAATTTCGAAAATACAATGTGAGTGACCAAAATGATCCAAGTCCCAAGTCGGACATACGCGTAGTCTAATTTTAATTTGGTGACTAAAACATATTTTAATATTCAAAAATTTTAAAAATATGATGTGAGTGACCAAAATAATCCAAGTCCCTAGTTGGACATACTCTAATTTAAATTTAGTAACTGAAACATATTTCGATATTCAAAAATTCTGAAAATACTATGTGAGTGATTAAAGTAATCCAAGTCCCTATTTGGATATAGTCTAATTTGGATTGAGTAACTAAAACATATTTTGATATTCAAAAATTTTGAAAACACGGTAAAGAAAAGTACCATGTGAGTGATTAAAATAATCCAAGTGCCTAGTTGATTTGAGTTTAGTAACTAAAACCTATTTCGATATTGAAAAATTTAGAAAATACCATGTGAGTGATTAAGATAATTCAAGTCCCTAATTGATGTGAGTTTAGTCACTAAAACGTATTTTGATATTGAAAAATTTAGAAAATACCATGTGAGTGATTATGATAATCCAAGTCCCTAATTGATGTGAGTTTAGTCACTAAAAAGTATTTTGATATTCAAAAATTTAGAAAATACCATGTGAGTGATTATGATAATCCAAGTCCCTAGTTGATTTGACTTTAGTAACTAAAACGTATTTTGATATTCAAAAATTTAGAAAATACCATGTGAGTGATTATGATAATCCAAGTCCCTAGTTGATTTGACTTTCGTAACTAAAACGTATTTTGATATTCAAAAATTTAGAAAATACCATATGAGTGATTCAAATAATCCAATTTCCTAGTTGGTCTAATTTGAATTGAGTAACTAAAATACATTTCGATATTCAAAAATTTAAAAAATACCATATGAGTGATTAAATTAATCCAAATCTCTGGTCGCACATAGTCTAATTTACTGTTCCAACTGAAGTATATTTTATGGAAAGTGATCTAGTATTGGATATTCAAGAATTTTGAAAATACGATGTGAGTAATTAATTAAAATAATGGAAATAGAAATAGTGTCTACTTAGCGCTGATAAGCGACAATTACGATAGTATTATGTAGCATTCACTCGTCTTCTACGTCTATAGTGTGTGCATACATAAGCTAACGCACATAGTACCAATTAGGTAAAACTACTACTGAGACGATTTCATACTGCCACACCAAGGTCAAAATGCCTTGACACGGATTAGGTGATACAAGCAGTAACCTGCGCTTACTTTACCACTAGTATGACGTCAGTATATGCAAATAAAAAGCTGCAGCCAACGTTCTTGATGCCATCGAGATCTCTCCAAGCTTGATATTTACTCTTGCAAAAATGTCGACTTCCTCCATTAAAGCAGTTGTTATTGGTGCTACCGGACCCACAGGTAGTCGAATTTTAGGAGAAATACTGAAATCTAAGGTAAGACGAGTATATTGGTTAATTGTGTGGTAGTAACGACAGACGGATTAATCTCCCTTCAGTGTCGAATGTATTCGAATATACGTACTGTATACTCTTCATGATGGTTGGATCACTTGCTAAATAAGTAACAATAATGGCTTGTGCTATGATCAACTAAAACCTAAATTATAGGATTGGGATAAGTGTGTTGTTTTAACTGTTTCTAGTAGACCCATAAGTCACGATGCTTTGCATACTCGTTTACAGAGTACTGTAGAAGAGTGCAGTAGACTTAGTTGTGCTATCAGTCGTTGGCTCTACCAGTTGGATCAAGGTCGTTTTGTCTATTTTCACTGCAGTTCAATTGTACAACTATATCCAATCTTGATGTTTTTGATGGGATATTGGCTACATCAAAGTTTATGCAAACATTTTCAACCGATCGTATTCTTTTGGGTTATTGTAGAATTTCACGCAAGTTACCGCCCTTGGCAGACGTCGTGCAACGTTATTGCCCGAGTATGGAGTGGATCAAGAACAAGAGGAAAATTCTGGCAGGTTAATTCAGGAAGTTGTCGGTAAGTAATACTGCTGTGAGGACCCTGCTTGGTAGTTAGCGAACTCATTGCAACTGCAACTTACTTGCCACTCACTACCAATTAACTGGCATACTTCTTTTACTGTCAGTAAAGACACACTCATGACCGTTGTATTAGCATGTTATACGTTTGCCTTTGTTGCATGTCCATTTTGTAGTCCCAAACAGATCGCGTTTTAGATTGTACGATTGTCTTAAGTTGGGGTTAGGATTAGAAAAAGAGGTGAGAGTACAACAAGTAGGGTTTTACAGGAAACTAAACTTCTTGTTATCTTTCCCTCAGAGACAATCACATCATTAAACGTCCATCTCAGTATTGCTACTTGGCTAACTACTGATATTGTGGTAAATAGCAAAATTTGCAGCCAAACGTTTGACAACATCGGTATCGTTTAATTTAAAATGTTCAGTTCTGCGTTAATTTAAGATAAGGTAAAGCCAAGGTGCTGCCTTCTACAGCTCAAACAATCATCATGAAATTGATTTTCAAGGTTCTGTAGTATAGAAATGATTGTTGTATTCTAAAATATCGTTGTCATATGACCAGCAATCAACCTACTGACTTATGTACCCGTATGTATACATGCACATATGGAAAGTGAGTGTTTTAATGTAATATGGCATAGTTTTAGACGGTTGCAACTTTAACAACTGACATAAATGTAAAATTTGGACTATCTATTTCAGAATTCGATAAATTGGATTTCGAAAGTGCAAAGCAATACTTTGAAGGAGCCCATGCCTTTTTCTCCGCAATCGGTGCCAAAAAGGCCTCTGTAGACTCTGTAAGTCCATGAATGCATTAACTACCCAATTAAAGTGTTACAGTGGATGAATCAATTGCTCGCAGCATTCTCCACTGTTGATATACTAGTATATTGACAATTATAGGAAACATATCTCAAAGTTCATCGAGATTACGCTACTAAATTGGCTGGTTTTGCACACCAATGTGGCGTTAAACATATGCTCATTGTGTCAACTCAAGGCGCAAGTGCTGGCTCTATGTTTACATATATGAAACTAAAAGGACAGGTCAGTTTTGTGACTAATTCTACGATGATGATATGTCATTATGGTGAACTTACCATAAGCATCACATTTCCATCTATTAGGCTGACGAGCAGATAGCTAAGCTAAATTTTCCTTGCTTCTCTTGCTTTCGTCCTGGTATGTTGGATAGAGGAATGAAACGAGGAATGATGGAAAAGTTTGCTGGTAAGTATTTCTAGATTCATATACCTGTACTACTCGCTACGTATGAATGAAAGACGTATATTCATTTGGTTGCACAGATAAATTATTTTAAGAAATAGTAATCCTAATTGAATTTTCCGTATTTTCAAGGTGCAATAATGACATCTATGCATGTCAAAGATGTAGCAAAAGCTATGAGAATCATTGCAGAGAATTTTGCTGCCGAATCAACAGATAACCCGAGTAAAAATGTTGTCAACTACTATAATAATTCGTCAATCTGGAAACTATGCTCAGAATCGTCATGAGTATCGCGAAGAATGCACTATAAGATGTCAAATGAGCACATTATCGTAAACCGTCAGTAAAGCGACGGGAGTTTGCACTAGTTAATTATAATAGTACCAATTTTTTCTTGATAAAAATATTCTAAGTTGTACTGTAGTGGGGTTTAAAATAATAATCTGAAAGCGTTAGCATCTACAAAGATACAGCACACTCTTAGCATTTTTTTATAATTGCTATTTAAATATAGAAGTGATAAAATTTAGTAATTTTCAGTCTAAGCTATTAATGCTTCAGTAACCAGCAGGCAGTTAAAATGGGTACAAGTGAAATTTGTCTTAATAACCGATCGTATATCAACACCACCTAGGTATTCATTTTTGTGTGTACCGTATATCATTCGAATTTTCTAAATCTATGAGATAGAATATGTACTGCTATACGTAGTTAATAAAAAACTTGATATATTAATCCTTGTTTCTTTCAATACTTGTATTTAAAAGTGTATTTTATTATTAAATCATAAACTATAATTAATTATGATTATTAAGGTAAGATAGAATAGAATAAATATTTTAATACAGATCTGTAGTTGCACTTGCAGTACAGTTTTGACCCGAATTCAGGTTACAGTATAATAGGGAATTAGAGTATAGTGATGCACCCATATTTGATATAGTTAGGATACTTTGAATAGATATTATCGTGAAGCTAATATTAGACGATTGCTAACTACTATATTAGAAATTGTTGATGGCTAATAGTAGCCAGTTGACTAATTATGGTACAACATTTATGTAGCTAGAAACACTGTAGTTGTTAAGATGCCCTTCGGAGAAAGGGCCTAGACGTTAATAGAAGAGTAGTGACATTTCAAGTAGAATGATTTATTAGATAGGTAATGATGTACTATTAGAGAAAAGTATTTTGTTCGATGACTCATGTCTGATTGGAAATTAATCAAGTTGTCATAAATGGATTTAATGAAATGTTAATAAGAAGTGCAGAGATGAGCTCACGGGAGAGAAGAGACTTCACTTCGCTTTGAGCTCGCAATACTTTCGATTTTAGACTAGATTCTTGTAGTAATTAATTATTGCTTTACAGTACTATTCCTAAAACCTGGTAATAAAAGCCTTTAAGAAAATACCATTTGACTAAGATAGTTATTGTGAGACGCATTTATTACATAGAGATTAACTTTTCTACTATTTAATATGTGCAATGGAGTTGTATGTTGACACAATTTGCAGAGGTCCATTTGAGAACCTGAAATACTGATGGTGATTCATTTTGCAGTCCATAGATAGTATCAATGGTGTTGGAATGTAATATTCTCATCACCAGAAACCCTAGCGATTCTGTCTAATCTCTACCAATTTGTTCTCTCTCTGATTAGTCTATATCGCTGCCATTGGAGAAATCTTGCACTACCCAATTATAATATAATTTGTTGTAGGACTGATGATCATAAAAACCTTTCATTCAATCAATACTGAATCAATAGTCTATTATAGGGAATGCGCAGTAGCGTATGAGTACCGTAGCCACGATTGTGATAATGCGGTACATACGCATACATGCCTAGCCAAGGAATATATTTTATAGGACTAGAATCCATTGCCATGGTAGCAATACGTTGGGAAGGTTCGTAGAAGAGAGTAGCAACAGGGATTACTAGAGAAAGTAGCAATGGACGTCGAGTCAGAAGGTAGTTCGGCCCTTCGATTAATAAAGCAGGGTGCAGAAGCCAGAATTTATGCCGCTGATTTCCTAGGCCGACCAACTATCGTGAAGGAACGATTTAAAAAGAAGTTTAGACACAATGTATTGGATGATAAACTCAGACATAAGCGTACGATGCAAGAGGTGCGTTCGATGCATCGTTGCCGGAAAGCTGGAATTGCAACACCAACAGGTAATTTAAACGAGCGATTTAAACTTATTATTGCTTTGCTATGATACTACTTTCAGTCTTGTTATCCACTCTTGATTCTACTGCACCTGGGATAGCGTAAATCTACATTTATCATGTTATGAAAAGGTCTTAACTTCAGATTGTTTGCCTTGCACTCACAAAGTTTTATAGCAATTAGTGACAATATTCTCGTACAATATTTGACTAGCTGACGTACTGCATATCCATCAAGGTTAATACTCGTATGCTTAAATCAGCTTGCATTTATTAATTTATACTTTTACTGTGTTTATGGTAAATATTCTGTAGTCTTTTTCATCGATTCAAACGATTACAAGATTTATATGGAAGAGGTACAAAATTCGATTACGGTCAGAGATTATATCAATTCACTGAAAGAAGATAAAGAAAGCAACTTGCGTAAACTTGCCAAAATTATTGGAACTATTCTTGCTTCAATGCATAATATACAAGTCATTCATGGTGATTTAACTACTTCAAATATGCTATTAAAGAAAACTAATGATATTGAAATAGCTGACTTGGTGCTAATCGATTTTGGATTGAGCAGCATCTCGTCATTAGCTGAGGATAAAGGAGTCGATTTGTACGTTTTGGAAAGAGCCTTTCTTAGCACCCACCCTAATACTGAAGATGCATTCAAAGTGATCTTGGATACTTATAAAACATTCAAAGGATCATCGGAGGCTTTAAAAAAGTTAGATGAAGTAAGGTTGCGTGGTAGAAAGCGAACTATGGTGGGGTAGTTGACCCAAATTTTGAATACTGTGTATTATATCGTGAATTATTGCAGAATAAAATTGATGTAAATAGATACTTGTACACTCGTATGTGAATCTTTAAGTCTCTGTAGTAACGTAATTTTACAGCATCACATTTTCACCATGGTCCATCTGACAACAAATTTTTATTATACCAAACACTAGTAACGTCAAGTTTAAAATCTTTGGTTAGTCTTAGACTGATGGATATGGCCAAACAGCCAGATTCAACTCAACTGACCTCGTATTGATCGCTGATGATTATCTGGCGATCATAAAACAAATAATATCATTATAATTCGTTATACCCCTAGAGAAAGTACTAAGCCGTAAACTATCCATGTCGTTCGTGAACATCAGCATACATGTATTGATTAATCTGTTTGATCCAGGGTTAGACTTCAATTTAAGAATTTATGATACGTACATGCAACAGATGTTACTTTACATGTATTATAACTGGTACAAGGGTAGCTGCATGTATGATACATAATTATATCAGAAGACTGGTCTTCCAAAATTGCAGTGTAATAGAATTATTGCACTTCATAAAACTTGTGAAGGTAGCTATAGCCAGGATATACAGTAAGAGTTAATCCATAAAAATGGTGTATTTACGTAATAGATCCAGTTGAAAAACAAATTAAAGTCAAGTATCGATAAAGGTTTTACTTGAAAGGAATTCTTTGCATGTACTTTTATTTGAGCAAAAAATATTCTAAATAACAGCTGTACGAAGCATATTACAATATTATTACATTGATAAACTATAAGTTCATGAATTCATTATAGCGACTAAAAGGTTGTGAATTGATTTCAGTAACATGTTGCAGAGGTAAAATCAGCTATTCGTATTTGCAATAGCCTTATAGTCTTGATAACTGGCCACCTGCTGCTACGATATTCTCACCAACAACGAAGGCAGCATCATCTGAAGCGAGAAATGATACCACTGCACCACAATCTTCTGGTAAACCAATCCTAAACATGAATAGTGTTTATATTAGTGTTGGAGATGCAACACCGCTAGAACATCAAAGATTAGCAGCTCGTATACTGCATTAACATCAGTATAACTCGTAAATAGATCAGTACTAAGCTCTTACCTTCCTAATGGTATAGAAAAACCTACAGCTTCACTTTCACGGCCGTCCCATAGCTTACAGTAAAAGAATAGATGTTTATGCTTTAATAATGAGCAAAGCGTGCATGTAATTTAAATATAAGAATGGCTTATTACTTGTTTACTAAATCGCGTTTTGATTAAGCCTGGTGCTAAACCATTGACCCTTACGCCAAATTCAGCACATTCTACAGCTAAATTCTTAACCAATCCAAACATTGCCGTCTTACTAGTACTATAAGCTCCAAGACTCTATATTGAAATTTTGTGCAGTCAATTGAGTTATATCCAAGAAATGCTGTTTATCATACAAAATCTATATATTCGTTTATGAAAACTTACTTTGTCAGGTGTAAATCCACCAATTGACGATACCAATATTACGGATGCACCTCTAATATCATAAACAGTATCACTACAATGACTATCTCAGCTATTATGGTAAGTTTTTCGTTTACGGAATTGAATCGCAATATCTTGGTAAACATTACAAAGGGAAAAAATTTTATCAGAGTAAGCAATACTTGCGATTTTTCATATACGGCATCGCTGACTTTACCAGAAAGAAGGACGCCTTAACATTGATATCGAAAATCTACAAGATATAATGAAGATATTAATAGTGGTAGCAGCAACTGCATGTGCCAAATTGGTTATATTATTGTAATAATTATAGTTACTCTCATGCATTCATCATATGCTAGTGATTCATAACTTGATCTCATACGCAAATATATGCTACAATTTAGTATGTTGAATACAAAGAGCAAGTAGTCACATCTACAAATTAGTTTACAGATATGCAAAATGGCCTTTACCTTATCCCATGCTTCTTCAGTTGTAACCTACAGCACAAATTGTACGTTTGATTATGATCTTGCTTCATGAATGTTTGAAATTGACAATTATTGACTTATATGACTGATTATTCATATGCAATGTTGTATGTTATACGCAGAGCACGCATACCTTTAACATTGGCCCATAAACTGGGTTAACAGCTGCATTCGATACCAGAATATCGATACCACCATATTTTGCTACTGTCTAGAAATACAAGCATTAGGAGCATCACTAAGTAGTTGCTAACTTGCAAGATGATTCTATTGATGCTTTCGTTATAACATATTACTTTGGCTAACAACAAGGAGTAAAGGTGCTTCATACTTCGTGTAGATAGTAATAAATGGGAAATTAAATTTTATTATTCAACAGAAAGAACCCAGCTCTCAAATTTAGTCAGTAATAACTACGTGTAGTACAATACTGATAAAATTTAAAGGAAGAATCGTTGGTCTTAATTAATTAATTACGATTAAAGTATTTCAAACTTCGTATAGACAGTAATAAATTTCATTCACAAAAAGTACCGAACCCCCGCCCCCACCCCCAAATTGAGTTTATCTACTACTGATTGCACCCTGAGTGTTCCGTCTCTTTGCATTTTAAAAAATTAACATTTTATCAAATCCTAAAAGTCAATCAATGCCTAAAATTATTATTTATTCCGGTATATAGCAGTATCACAGGAAGAGCTAAATTTTATCTAATGAAATATCGACTTCCGGATCTCTTAAGATGTGTCATGTTATCGCGTAACGGTTTTGCAAATTGATTCAGTAACGCAGTACAGTACATGTAATACTCGTACTGGCAAAATTTAAAGATAGAAATCATTGGCCTTGGTTAAATAGTTACGATTGATCACTATCCGTAGGGAATGCATACTTCTTGAATAAGTGCCTCACGATGCTCTTTTTTACCAACGTGACAAACAAGACCCATGACTTCTATTCCTTGTTGGCGTAAATTATTGACCGCGGCATCAACATTTTTCTGTTTCCTGCTACTGATGACCACTTTTGCACCTTCCTTTCCAAGACGTTCAGCGATTGCATACCCAATACTAATTTAATAAAGATGCATAAACGGGCAGAAATATCAAACTACTTGGTTAAAACACGTATAGGAAAGTATTTAAGCGTTACTTTGGATATACAATCAATCATCACAATGAATATTTTCGTTCCATATCTATTGATGCATGGAGATGTGATCGATTACAGTGCTGTGGTGTAGAATATAAAGTGCTATCCTACTTACCCGTCTGTAGCTGCAGTTATTAAAGCTACTTTATCTTGATGCCGAAGTCCAGACATACTCTAAGCTCAATTTAGGTTCAATTGATGAATTGATGCACGCTTAACAGGACAATTTCCGATGGAGAACTGCAGAAATACCAGCATAAGGCTTAAGGCTTTCCTCATTGACCTGGGCGGAGATTGCTTGACCTCCTGGGCAAACTACCCCGGTTAGTAGCCCCTGGTAACGACTTTCTACACTGTTTGATCACGCATAGTAGAGGTCCCCAAGATCGAGCGTGGTAGCCAGTGTAAATTATACAATCAAGGTATCACGGAAAGAAGTCTATCGCCTTGCCGTTCGACAGATGGACAGAACTCGCCACCGAGATTTAGTGCCCAAAATTGTCTCAAGGCTTAACATTTTTTTACCCATTCTACTATACTCTATTTTACCAACTGAAACCATCAATCATACTGTATAAATTACAAAAACCAAGCTGGGGTTAGATGAAATGACCAGCAAAATAGTTGGCATACACACGTTTTAACCCTAACCCTAACCCTAACCCTTCTATCCACCATCTCAAAAATGGAAAAAAAAAAACGAACGGTCAGTTTTTGGTGAGTTAGTATGACTTTTGGATGAAGTGAATAGACAGACAGACAGACAAGACCAGGGAGATGAGTTTCCGACAGACGGATAGGCGACTTTATTACATCAGGTGCTAAGTAAAAACTGGCGTGCAGAGTGTTGGCGTAGCAGCAAGAGCGAGAAGGAACGAAGACGATGCAGCAGTAAACTGTTAGTTTAGCTTGATACAGTGATCAATGGCAATGATTCAAGTTGTAACGTATGCTATTAACTCTCAGCTATAATATGCATCGAATTGGCTTCTCCATTGGCAAGTATAGCAAGAATTTAGCGGATTGGAATGGTAGAAGTGTGTTCCAACAATGTGCTAAGCTAAGCTCAATCGACTATTTTTGTAAGCCGGATGGAATGACCAATCCAGTTCAGCAATGTGCAAAGGTAGCTAGAGTAAGAAATGCAAGTTTAAAAGAGCATATAGACGCTAGAATGTAAATGCATTTACTTTAGACTAAGTTAAATGCGGAAAGGATACTCGTTGAACTTGTTTATTCGCTTTGCTTACGTCATGAGTATTCGCAATGGCTGAATACTGTACTATCATATTCCTTGAGGGTCGGCTTGTACGTGCATTGCAGTGTTATAACTTGCAGTTACTGTGCATAATGTACAATGTCACTTTGGTTTTTGCACTAGATCTGCATAGAAGGTAATATTGGTTGCGGCAAGACATCGATGATAAACTATTATTCACAAATGAATGGCTTGATGGTAAATGACTTAAGTCAATGAGATAATGATACGTATTTGTTGTTGTAAAACATCTTTGCTTGTACTCGTATACGAAATAGAACTGCTATGCAGTATTTTCTCCATCGCGACAGTCTTATCTACGGAATAGGTTTATAATACATTATGGAGCACGATTACGATATTAGCGTTACAAGTTTATGATTAATATCATCATATCAAGTTTAAATCGAATTTTTTCCTCGTAGGCTACTAAAGAACCTGTAGATAAATGGCGAAATTTGGGCGATCACAATCTATTTGTATGTGCACACCTGCTAGATATTGCTTTCTTCAGATTATATGAAATCAAACAGATACTCTACTATATCATATAGCATTAAGAATATTACAGCTCTTAAACTGCAGAATAATCAGTAAACCTGGTATGCTATTTAGGGGCTATTTTATGAAGATCCTAAGAGATGGAGCTTTCTATTTCAATCGTATGTCATGATAACAATGTATCAGAGACATCAGCATGTGGCATCTTTGGCGAAAAACGGTGTAAGTGGAAAATTATATGTTGCATATTAATAATAATAATAATAATAGCTCAGTACTGTAGTTTTTACAGTTGATAAATTTCAAGTAATAGCTTTTACGATGCTACATTGTAAATAAAAATGTAATTTTATGCGCTTAATATCATTATGGCCTGCATATCAAGACTGCGAGAGCTTACTTAATGGAAAGATCGGTGTACAGTGCTAATTATTGCTTCGTAGAAAATTTAAGAGCAGAGTAAGGGAAAATCTTTCATTATAAGTGCCTTTGGAATATTCAAAATTTAAGTATTTTATACTTTATTTCTGTTTGCATAGAAAACTCATGTCCGATAGCGAATATAGGGTATTACAGGCTTACTTTGATCATTTTACAGATGCAGTTAGACCACAAATCGATATGATAGGTTGGCCATAAAGCTTGAATTTATTGCTTTGTAATCTTTAAACTCGATGGATATTTGCTCAAATTTATTTATTTATTTAGCTTGAAAAAGTCTTTTTAATTTATTTTAACATTGTGCTCTTTTTAGTTTATCTTCAGTGTGCTCCGGAGATTTGCTATGAAAGAATTAAACGCAGACAAAGGGTTGAAGAAAACCGGATTACCTTGGTTTGAATTAGTATTAAAAAATCACATATCTGCATAGGTTGTACCAGTTCTATTATATTTAATATTCCTTAATTAAATATAAATTCTGTATACGTATTTCTAGGACTATATACGCTGCCTTCACCAGCGTCACGAGGATTGGCTCATACATCGAAAGTATACACTACCATGTCCAGTTACGGTATGTTTTGTAAAGAATTAGCACTATACAGTACGTAGACTAGCAGTTATTGATCGTTAAGAATTAGTTTTCTACAACATCTTCGTAAATTTAGTACTATGTAAGTAGCGTGAGCATGTACTGTCCATGCTAATAATCATGTATGAATTGAATTGGAAGGTAACTTAACTTTACATAAATTGACTTTTTAAAATATTTTAGGTGATAACAGTTAATGAAAGTTTGGAAAATATGCCCGAAATTTATGACAAAACTGTAGATCAGATTCTATTGCGTACTTAGTTGTTGAATATTGTATTTTATCAAAGTATGACTGATTTATGATTTACACTTCTGTAATGTACGTTATATACTCTTCTCATCTTGCCTCTTGGAGAAAATTATATTGAGTAGTCATCCTTTTATGTACAATATCACTTTAATTAATAGACCATATTCATGTAATAACTTTAGATAGCCGTAGGAGATCACTATGGAAATAACTCATTAATTTATTCGAACATTATATCGTATTTAAAAATTCGTCACAGAAGATTGACGAAGCCGTAAGATAGTTTCGTATATAATATATAGTCTCGAAGAGTGGTTATTTAAATGGCTTAAGTAAAGTATTATCAAACGTGTTTTTTTAATAACTGGAAACGCACATATATATATATATATATATATATATGACATCACGTTGGGTGATTAACTCGTTTATATTCCAATGAGCTGCTGCAGTAAGCCAACCGAATGTAGAATAAAAGAAAGTTCTCGATATCATGTAGTGTCTATAAAACTTTCCGATATTGCATGAAACCTGTTTTATGACTTGCGCTTTCTTCCTGTAAATGAAATTATACACTCAGAACAAATACTTAATGTAATGGTAAAAATTACAACTATACTTAGGAAGTTGCCCTTTTTCTTATTTTTCAGTTTCGATTTTTTCTTCCCAGCCTGAAGGGAGGAGAGGTCATTAAGTTTAAGCACAGAATATTAGACAATTGCTGATAAATAGTTACCTTTTTGCTACGCTTTTTTGATAAATCTAAATGGTGAGGATTCTGGCGGTATTAAGGAAACCAATCATTTATTAATTATAAACAATCAGCAATATGATTACAATTTTAATTGAACACGAAATATTTACCTCATCAGTTAAGACGCTCAAGTCTTCAAATTTAGTGATATTGTCCAAGGACTCTGTTGTATGTCGCATTTTCTAGGTAGTAGACAGATTAATTATGGTTAATTAACATATTATTGAACAGGACTAATGAGTAGAAGCTATCTTATGTCATAAAAAACAATACAGCATCAAAATCAAAAACATTTTATACTTTATGGGTTTTCTTTGTTGGCAAACGTATCAGATTTTCTTCCTCATAACTACAAATAGTAAAATTGGCGAAAGTTTATTCTTAGATTATCAAGACATACGAGTAAGCATGAGAATAAACTTAAGCATTACTTTCTAAGGTGCTCTTCTCTTTCGCGCACTACAGGATTCTTAGATGCGGTGTCCTGTTTTATAAAATTGGTTTACATATCGTATTAGTGAAAATATTTAGTGATATTGTAAAGCTTAACACTGACTGAAATATAATAGAAGATTGTTCTTCCTTTACACTACCCAAGGATAGCTTACCACGACTAGTGGTTATTATACAAAATCAAGAAAGGCTATACCTTATATTCTTCCGGTTCGTTCAGGTATTGTTCTATATATTGGTAAAAACGATAGTATCAAAATTCGGACAATCGAAAAATATGAGTGGTAAGCTTTAACCTTTAAGATCTTTAAGCATATCGCTATTAAGGACCCGACGACGAGCCCTTTCTATTACTTTCTTCTTCTTAGCTTCAAATCCAGATTCTTCCTCTGGTAAAATTAGAGAAAATTCTTTAGTTACTTACGACGTTGGTTTTCAGTAAAATTTATTATTAACAGAATGCTTTAGCAAATTGACACTACTTAATTTAGCGAACGTTAGTAGTTAATAATCGACAAACCGAACGGTGTGGCAGCAACTTTCGGTGGTACATACACTCCAGAACTTTCTTTTTCATCATCATCTACATCAAGCTAAACCAGGTGTTACATATTATATCAGATACGGTAGGAATCGAGATATACGTGTCTACATAACAAATTAATTACTATACGATTTTGGCGGTGGGTGCTTTTGTCAAATACATGAAAAGTTTCCAATACTTAAGAAGTTACAATCGATTTTACTTTATTATGATACTGGGAAAAATTTTTTCTCTTTACCTTACTAACTAACGCATCAGGATTCGGTTTGAATTGTAATGGGTCGTTTCTGCCTATTGCATGGCCTGTATTTGCAGCTTTAATCAATTTATCTATTTGGTAGCGTAATTTTTGATCAATGGGTCTGATCCGCTCCAAGACCTTATAAGTAGGACAAAATCATCATTACATAAGATACATTACAGCATGCATTAGAAACTTGTGTTGATTGAAAATAGTTAAGAAAAATGAGCACGTACAGTTCGTATTTCAACGAGCCTTTCGATCGCTGGACAATCAGCCAACGATGCACCGTCTACTTTTATGTATACGATATATACCAAATTGATCAAATATCTGTAGAATTGGAATGTAGGTACATTAACAAGCTAGCAACCAAATCAGTATATCACAACTACAAAGACCTTGTTCTATTCTAAAACATAATCTTCAGCAAGTGTAAAATACTACCATAGTAAATGTAATCAACATTTGCTGGTATAAGTAATGAATAAAAATGTTTAGAATTGCACTAGTATTAAATCATATTGTAGTGAAGATTGACTTCTTCTATAGTAATGATTGAATAATTGTGATAAAATATTAGATTCTGGACCAAAAAATTAATAAAGGCTATTGCACTCGTACTTACTCTAATAATAGCTGATATTTCATTTCCAGATAGTTTATTCCCTTTATTCAAATTTGTTAACAAAATAGAAGTATTTTTATATTAATTCATGCTAACACTAATACAATTCACAAATAGCGCTAGAATTAATGAACATGAACTGCTGGATAATTCTATATTGCCATATTAAAAATTCTATGATATTTACGTTAAACGTCAGAAATCTTTTTAATACGCGGTTAAGTGAGATATGTACTTGTGTATTTGTATGCCTGTATATCAGTTTCTGTCAATGATATGTATATATCGGCAGATATCATTGTATGTTGGTTTACCTTAGCAGTTGAAACTTCCTTACTTGATACATCCTTTAATACTTCACTGGTTTTCGATGTTAATGACGAAACCTGGAGATGAATACAGGATAAAAATTTCCTATTCAGTAATAACATGGGTAATGCTTATCGTCAATACTATGGATACAAGCGTAATGTAATATTTAAGAACTATAAAGCTTAAATCTTTGACCCAGAACAGCTACCTAGTTATGCAGTACATGGTAAATCAAATATGTATTGAATAGAATGCAAAGTAAAATTGAATATGTAGTTTTCGTACATCTGTGTTGTGTTGCTACTGCTCACCTTTTGTGTTATTTCTTCAAGCTTTGAGAAAGCCTGAGGTAAATCAGCTGAAACAATCTAGGCAATAATAAATTATTGTTAATTAAAAGTAATGAAAGTCTTAATATAATGATATCAAAGGAATGAAAACTTACATACTGTATAAACATTATTAATTTCTACAGATAACTAGGAGAAATAAACTGCCGGCGCTGTAGACTATTGTAAAGTTTACTTCGACGAATTAAGCAACTTCATATTATTGCAGTATTACGTATAATAGGCATGGCTACCTATTTATTATCAGAACGAGCTCATAATTTCTGTTAGCTCATAGTAGACATACGCGTATACAGTACTGTAGTGTGCATCTTGCAATTGCCAAAGTTTCCAAGATGTGTACCTGTACACATATAGTTACTTATGCTCATCATGTAGAGTAATGTCAGATAGAAACACTATACAATGATGCAACTACTAAAGCCTACGAGCTGTGTCTGTACACATACAATGTGGAGAATTAAAGGTATTTGCTGGCGTATATCGTATGAAGAATTATATGCAATTAGCAAAATTTTCGAGCCTTATCTGTACACATCTAGGATAGAGAATTAAAAGGTATCTGCTGACGTATATGTACGAATGAGAAATCATGCAATTTGTCAAAGTTTTCCGGTCGTTATCTGCCAATGCATATGGAGAATCATGCAATTGCGTTAATCAAGTTTTTCGAAGCGTGTATGAAAGTTTCATACTAAGTCTTGCATATCATTTGTACAGAGATTGAAAGGTATCTGCTGCAGCATACAGAGAATCGCACAATTGTCAAGATTTTTGAGTAGCGCCTGTATGGAAACTGAAAGGTATCTGTTGATGCATATGGAGAATCCTGCCATTACTCCAGCTTTTTCGAACCATATTTATATAACTATAGTACAGAGATTTAAAGGTATTTGTAGATGGAAGCCTATAGGAAGAATCATGTAATTACCGAAGTTTTTAAACTGTGTCTGTACCACTCGTTTAAAGGTATCTACTGATGCATATAGAGAGCGATGTAATTGCGGAAATTTAAAGATATTTGCCGGCACTTGCTACACCTGAGCATTGACATAACTGATCTAGATTCAGGAGGTTGCTATAATTTTCGAGCTGCACCTCGACACATGCTAGTAGAGAGATTTAAAGATACCTGTCATTCATTTACCTTCTAAATTGCAGTACTATCAAGTAAATTAATCAGTACACCGTCATTATTCATCAAGAGGTTCTGTTAGCGTTTCCTTTTACCTCTTGTGATCTCATTTAATGTACATTTGCAGACCTTAACTTACCTCATCAACAGTCGCCATGGAAGCCAGTTGAGAACAAAGATTTAAAACCTTTATAAATTACTAATACTCACGCAATGTCGAATCAATGAATTACTTAATAAACAATATTATCATGGTATGATTGCAAGATCATCTAATATACAGTAGACTGGAAATAACCAATTAATATTGAAAATTAATGAAGAATTAATGGAGGAGCTAGTTGGCCACAAGGCACGAGCTGTTGAACTGCTTGATGATCTACGGTCTAGTATTATACGCAACCATGCGCTACGCGCTTGGATTTTGTATAGCGATCTTTGGACTTAAAGGTTTACTATAGAGCCAGTCCATGGATGGAAAAAAGGAAAAAGCTGTATGCTTTTTGACTTAGTCTGTGTCATGTATTGCGCAGTACTGTTAGAGTACATTAGCTACCAGTCAAAACTACAGACAGCGTCCGGAAAGACCTCTGATGCAATCTTTCGTCCATATCAACTTCCATCGCTGTCCTTTAACAAGTTATTAGGCTTCCAAGGTAGTAGGATTAGCAAAAACTGACAATTTAGCAGTAAGAAAGGTAAGAATGAGCGTTTATAACTCTCTCTAATGGCTATTTTGCTGTAATGGATTACTATGATGAGTCAATTATTTTATTATAAGCAAGCATTTGATAGATGTTTATGTTGAACGATTGTTAGATATAGTGGTAAACAACATGTCCATCATGCTTAGCCGACTTTCCACCGGTAAGCTAAAATCGGAGAGTATGAATTAGATTGACCAATTTATTCAAATACATTTAAGAAGGAGGATTGATTTATTTTTTATTGTCATGATGTTAATTATTTAGGTTTGGTAACACGTAGGTGTATATGTTTAACGAGGTTGCTGTGTACAGATCAAGCATCTACAGATAGGTAGGGATAACGATGGAAAAGCAACTTCCATCGTAATCATAGCAATGACCACAACGATATGTATATACAGTACTTTGCTTTTAGCCCAATCTTTTAAAATACTTGTTTGCAGTACTAGCTAGTTAATAATCAGTTTATCGCCGTAAGATTACTGTGAGTAATTTTCTAGGGTAAATGATAGTTGAACAACTACCCTTAGACTTGTATCATGAATAGTTTGCAATACCTAAAAAGACTGTAATTCGTCGTTGAATAGAATAGCGATGGTATACCTGCAGATATCCATATTCTACATGTGCAATTATATGCTTTATTGACGGGCTCAGATAGGATGTACTATACAAGATACATCTAGTAATAATGCCATCGGTGACATTGCATCTCAACGAGTTAGCATTGATAGCTTTACAATGGACTTATATCTTTGTCAGTTAAGTTTTCACATCATGGATTTACGATAGAATCATCGTTGACTGTATCACATTGGATGTACGGTATTTCGTTAAATTCAACACGTTCTACATGTGATATGTTGCCCATTAGAGTTATTAAACATCATATTATCTGTATATATGTTCAAATGAAAATCTTGCTGTGTTGTAGGTGTAGTTAAATTTAGGTTAAACACTATAGATGATTTTAAGCAAGGGAGGTCCGCCATGGATATAATTCAATAACAGAATAACGTTAGAGAACAAAATACATACAGTAGCATGAATTTTGTATAGTATATTGGATAAGATCAAGTAAAAAATTTGCATAATTAGATAGTAGCCAACTGATGGAACTGTGTTATTAAAAATTAATAGGAATTACTTCTATCAGTAGTACTTTAGCCAGTCATTATCGGTAAAGGAATGATTACCAATATCGATTGAATATCCCGTTGTTTAAATCTTAATAGCCAAGGAACAACAAGTAATGAAGAAGCTAATAGACGCACCGAAGAATCTGATGCAGAAATTATTCAAAAAATTGTAGACTCTTCATTACCATTTGTAAGTCAGTACGGATGGTCATCTCAGGCTATAGCTGAAGGTGCAAAAGTGGTTGGACTATCTTCAGCAGCACAAGGTTTGCTACCTCGTGGTGGTAGCGATCTTGTCTTACATTTCATCGAAAAGTGTAATGGAGAGCTGGTCGAGTACATGAAAAATGCTAAAAACAATGCTAATGAGTTAGTATTATATTATGATTGACATGATACGATATGATAGCGAGCGAACATTTTTTCATCATTTTATCATCATTCGTTGGTTTTGTCTAATCAACGATTGTTCAATGAATTATTTTTATTACTAGAGATGAAAAGAAAACAGGAACAGTGTTTATTCGAGATGCAGTGGAATATAGGCTTCGGATGATTATCCCTTATATGAAAAAATGGCCTCAGGTGAGTTTCGGTATATTTCCTTGGTCAATTGTTGCTATCATGCTGCAGAAATTCTACCATAATAACAGTCGATTAACTACAGTTACCCATTTTAAGTAGGACTACCCTATAATATTACTAACTGATAACTGACTGATTAATATATCAATTCAAGAAATATAGAATTCATTGAATTATACTGTGTAATAGGCTATGGGGTTAATGCTAATGCCAGAAAATGCGCCTGATGCTTTATGTAGTGGTGCTGTCATGGTCGATGATATATGGTATTATGCTGGTGATAGGTCCGCTGATGTTAGTATCCGTAAACAATTTTAGTATTAGTGAATACTTTTCAAACCTGATGTATAAAATGGATCGATTTTGAAGCTTTATCTTTAAACGATGGTCGGTTGATTTTATTTTACAGTTCAATTGGTATACTAAAAGGGCAATTTTAGGCAAGATCTATTACGCAACTGGTAGGTAATTAAAGTCTACAAAGATTTCTTACACTAATAATTTAATTTAGTATACAAGCGTTCTTTTTATAGAGGTATACATGATACGAGATAAGTCTGAAGATTATGCGAAAACATGGCAATTTCTCGATAGCAGATTTCATGATATAGCCAAATTGAGGAGACTAGGTTATATGGTATGTGTAGCAAATAATATAATCATACCAGGCAAAATGTCTGATTTAAAGAATCTTTGCTAGTTTATTTGATTTGCGATTGGTTTATAACCTTTGAGCTATGAATAAGCGTAAAATAATGTTATACTTCTCATCTATTAAAGCTAAAAGGAGGATGCGATAGTGCGAATCATCTGCTATCTGGAATGTTTAATACGGTTAGTCTTGTGCATCATTTATGATATCTGATTAATCTTTATCGGCAATAGGTTTAATGTCTATTGAAAGAATGTAACTGTAAAACGCACAGTAGAACAGCTCAGTAATAAATGTGTTTTTCGTATTATAGGTAGCAAATATAACTGGTATTAACAATAAAGGACCAAGGACGTGGTAAAATTACAATGTCTCAGCTCAAGTAGCTCACTTGTAAAGCGATTTTCTATCCATTTCTTGAAATAGTAACAGATTATTGCTTCTTCGGATGGGCTAAATCATGACAGAGAGCTCAGTGGCAGATAAATTGTTTCTAAATTCATGTACAGTCATTTATATTGTTTTGAATGCTTTAAACTGTTCTTTTTGGCGTAGCTAGCTGTAAAGTAATATCAATCACTTTTCACTCTTGGTTGACTTATGTGTTTTCTACGGAAAAGTATGCTGTTTATTCACAGTTTACAATAAGAGAATAAGTTGTAATCTACTATTATTCTTTAAAGAATGACGCTATATGGAATGCTATACAAAACCATAATGGTTCGGATCGCTGTATGTTCTTAAATATTAATTGCATTCGATTAAAAATATCTACTGTATTCTCTGGTATAGCTGCCTAGATGTTGTTGAGATGCTTTTATGTATCAAATTATAGCGGTTAAGGTTGTTATGCGCTCTTAAGATACTATGCTTGCCTAGAAATACCTGTATTCTTCTCTGGCATAGCTTACTAGATACAAATGAGATGGATATTTAAACTTGCTTGCTTTAATGCTTTTGACATCAGCTGACTTCAGCCATATACGGAGATAACTATATAAACTTATTGATCCATCCAAATATGTTTACTTTTATTTGAATACTATCTATAGATTTAAAAATATATTTTAAGTCGAATTAACGATAGCAAAAAGTCTTTATAATTATAGCAAATAGTTGTGATGCTTTTATGCAAATACATTTTAGCTAGGCAGCTTCAGTGCTGACCAAGTATTGTAGCAGCTGATGGCATCAAAAGTCGCAAAATTAGTAAAAGTGTGTAGTCAATATTGTATCAGCATGCTAGTAATTAAAAAGCAACATACAATATTCTGCTTTAGCATAAAATAGAAATTATTTGGACTGCAATAACCTTAAGTAGGGTCTATAATACATTATATAACGCATACAATAAGCAGTAACAGTAAAAATAGCTGGGTTATATAAAAAATATTGAAGTTCATTTATGCGAGTACAGTAGTAACCGAAATAGTATTAGAGACTACTTAAGAAATGAGTAGTCTCTAGCGGTACATGTGTTAATCAGTTTGTACTCGATTCCATCGCTTAATAGTATGATATATTTAAATTTACCCGATATAATAAAATGATAGCCTGACGTTTATAAAATGAATTTGTACGTCTTTTAATGAATAAATATATTCTTACTAATAATTAAGTGTATAATCTGTAGGATATTTTTAATTTGTACATAAATAATAAGGTGCAAAAGCGTTGCCTGTCTAGATTCAATATTCAGTAGAAAATGGAACTCGACTCTACCATTGATTGATACAATATGCTACCTAACATATAGTTGATATACGTACATATCAATGGTATTTAAGGCATAACAAAACAAATCTCGCCTGTCTATTAATATATGTTATTTCTAAACATAGATACTAGGCGAAAGGAATTAATAAGGGTGTCAATAGCATCATAGCCTTACAAATTACAAGTCAGTATGAATCATGTTCCATTGCATCGCATCAATTTTTAATTGTAAATTTGGAATGAATAGAAAGGTGCTATTTCATCAGTCCAAGCAACGTAGTAGTTTGACCACTGTCATGTAAAAAAATAATACCATTATTACAGTGATAATGGTTGATTGTTGCAAGCTAAAAAAGAGGAATATCAGCCTGCACTATCTGGCCCAATGATACAAAAATTTTAATGTCACTTTTTGAAATATGCTTAGGCAAGCCTAATGATAGGCATGTTATAAAAGCTACAGATTGATGTTATAGCGAATGGATAAATTACATAGTGTTAAACTATAAATTTTGTAGAAAAATTACAGTTTTGTTTAAGCAAGCATTCACATTCCTGTCCGTGGCATCGCCAAAAATTGCCTCTTGGGCAAAGACTGCCACAGCAGAAAATACTATAAATACAAAATTGGATACACCACCCCATGTCATCACTGATCGAATAACCGAGAATCCAGTTTCCGATTTGATACTTTGCAAGTAAGTGATGTATTTTTCAAAGTTTAGGCGCTGCTGATTTCGTTTCCGTCGTAGTTTACCAGCAACTAGACCAACTCCGCGAATTAGATTTAAAAATTGATTATTTTTTTCTTTGACTACTTTCTCTTCTTTTACTGGAGATGGCAAAGGTCCCTCATTGCTATCGCTACCGCCATCACCAACAGAAGTGTTTAACTTGGAAACATCAGCGTTATTGAAGCTTTCCTTTTCATCTTTTGCAGTATCCAAGGCTAATTTCCAAGGATTTCTTTTCTTAACCCCGCCTTCACTTCCAGCAGTGATATCGATACCAGAACCATTAGTATTGGTAGTCGGTGATTCTTTATCTGATAATGGTTCCATTGGTATAACAACATCATTATTATTATTATTATTATTAGTTAATGAATCCCTAAATTCTTTGATCTGGAGACTATTACTAGAGCTGCTCTTGCGAAGCGATTGGATAGGCGTAGGAGGTAGTTGATCATTTTCTTTGAGATTTTTTAATTTCGATAGTAGATTTGAACGAGGAGAATTAAGCGTTATGTTAGTATTGGAGACTGATTCATCTTGTGTAGGCGTTAATTCTTCGTTACTTTTTAAATTTTTTAGCTTTAACAATAAATTGGATCGTGGTGAGTTGGATTCTTCTGGAGCGGAGGAATTATCATCTTCATTATTGCCGAGTTTATTTGTTCGATTGTGGTGAGTTGCTTGTGGAGAATTGGTATCAGATGAAGGTGGAGCTAGATTATTTCCAGTATTCAATATGTTCTGAGCACCAGGATTAATCTAGTTAGCAAATAATTATGGAACAATTTTAAAAACAATTGAAAGTATATCCAAGTAGCAAATGAGAGCGTTAAAATTTCCATTTTGAATATAGAAAATAATATTTTCTATAGTATAATTTTTTCTATCCAGAATGTTTACAATTGACTTACTTTGGTATTTTTTCGAAGAACATCTTTCCAGGTTCTTTTTCTTGGTGAATCTCCAGATTGCATGGATTTCTGCTTTTCCATTTCCTTGATGTCGTCCTCATCAGGTTGTGTAACCCATGCTTGCACAACTATAAGCGTATAGTCGTGATATGCTTTTGTCGCCCAAGCTGATACCGCCAGTGGTGTTATAACTTGAGATAGACATATTACAACTGACCATAAATAAACACCGCATCTTTCGGTAAATAAGAAATTGTAGGAATTGAGAACGATTGAGCTAAAGCTGATGATAAATGTGACGGTCAGCATGCCCTAGAAAAGTATTGAATAAAAAATATGGGCATATAAGAGAAATAAATAGTCATTCTACCCTTGGATAAACATGTTCTATCCAAACTACACAATTGTATTTTTTTTTCTTGCTTTTTAATGAAAACTAACTTCGCAAGCTTTTGATGCATCACTGACAAATGTTGATCTTAAGCCGAAAGAATGAACCGCTTCACCAAATGATATTTCCGGAGGTGAAACACGTAAAACACTTCCAGCTTGTTCTATAAATGAAGAAATGAAGGTCAATTTGAATTCAAAATAAAAATTCATCAATAGAAATTAAAAGTTATTTTGTAAAATTGCTATGTCTAGTAGGAAAGAGTTTTATTAGTATTTTCGTAGAATCCTATTCAAAAGCTGTAATTGCTGTATACTGATATACTGTAGTTCAATGCTCATAATGTAATTAATTAATTGCAATTAGCAACTGTCTAATTAACATTGCTTCAGTCGGTCCGTTTTGTTAAAAAAAATAGACAACATCAGATATTTATTAAGAATATTGTTCATTGGAGGAGTATCATGTCATGGCATCGCCACCATGATACCATACTTCGACTTGATTGTATCACAGCAATTAGAAGGTATTACTACGTTGAATATTTTTTCAGATATACGATGTTAGGTTGCTATGCTGTACTCCATACTGGTAAAATTATATGTCAAAGTTGTGCTTGACAAGTTAATTTTTATGAATGTATTTGCGCTCATTTGCTGAACTATGTGAAAAAAATAGTTTGCAATGTTTCTTCTACATTCTCAGGTGACTATAGGTAACCTTTTTACCGTCTATAATGTTGTAATGAAGTTATCGATGATAATCGAGTCTACCATATTGCAATAGAATTCTTGATTACGATTAGAGTGTAAAATACAAGTGGATATCTTCCTATTATAACTAGCGATAGACTGTACTTGCTCAGCTGATGATAAGCAGCATTTTTACTTTCTACTTTGTTGTAATAAAGTTATTAATACGAGCCTAAAATGCAATTGGTGTCTTGCTAGCAATTATTTCATTTTCAAGTGGATTCAAGTTGAACTTACCTGTCCATTGGCGCATTGAAAGCCCGGTCAAAGACATCAAGGTAACAGCACATGCCATAAAATAGCAGTAGGCATACGTTATATGGAATAGCGATATAAATCGTAGGAAATGAATAGGGATAATAATACCATATCCAATATGATATTTAATCCTGGCAAAAGCATTGACTCCAGCAATGACATGACAGCCTAATTCTAATACTGCCAAGAGAATTGCAAGTACTGGAAGCGCTATGGTATATTTCTGTACAAGAAGGAAAAAAAGAGTTAAGAGACAAACTCATTTTTGATCCATTTCAAAATGAAATTATTGTTCGTTAAAGTCGACGGAAATAACATCTATTGTATTGATTTGATAGCATTCAAATCCATTTTAAATGATGTTGTAGTAATTATAAGGACTATGATTATAAGACATCAACAACTTCTTGGCTATTCTCTTGAAATTTCTATGTCAATTCTATTATTGGCTATTTACATAGGGTTCATCAAAACAATATTGGAATAATACAGACTCGCTTTCATTTCATTTTTGATGTACAGTATAATTTGGAGAATAAAAAGTCATTGATTTTAAAAAGCATGGGAAAAGCTGTTTGATTGTAATTTCAATCGCAATGAGAAGCTTTTTTATTTCACTATCCTATCGATGTATCTTTTATAAAGCGAAAAGGATAAAAACAGTAGACCCATGAGTATTAATGTGATTTATTCGGCTTTGCGAGTTGGAAATTTGTAATAATGTGTTGTTGTATCTTTTGGCTTGCTATGTGATATTCGCATATTATTCTCTACATTGATTGCCAAGGAATAGGATACCAAGTTCAATGAATCCTTTTCAGTCAACTCGATCCATGGCCATATTGTCTCTACTCTAGTTGGCTCGTTCTAAGCGTCTAAAACGAGTTGTAGAGTAAAAAAAAGTAGTAGGATAGTATTTATCGAATAAACGGGAATGTCCTATTTTTGGTCAGTGTTGTTTGTCGACGATGATGATTATCCTGGATAAATTGATGACTATCGTTATTTGCAATTGGATGACATCTATCTCTATTTCTTGATAGCAACAAATTACTATCCAATATCGATATTGTCCGTTCTACTCTTTGAGTCGGATATTGTCACTTTCACACGTTCAATGGAATTGAATTTATACTCATTGGCAAAGTACAGCAGCAATTGATGATGTCAAAGTGTCGACTCTATTTTGAAACTATTACAAGCATTTATGACAAGGAGTTGGCTGTCTATTATGCTAGAATACATTCCATGGACATTGCTTTAAGCTATGTTCAATCACTAGGCATAGAGAATGGAAGTGATGGCATGAAATCATCAATGCATCATAATGCTAAAATTGGATATTGCTACCCATGCTTGAATTTCAATGGATGATAAGCATTGGTGGCAAAAAGTCGAGCATACTATGGGTTAATCGAGGAGATTCTCAACGATAAACAATTAGGAAATCTAGGAAAGAACACTAAGTTTCAATAATATGCCTAGAATAATCAATTAATCCTTGACATCATTCACTTTTCTAATTTAGTAATTGAATTAAAATTAATTGCTGTTGTACCCTAGCAACAATGATCCACTATCATTGAGTTACTACCATCTGTCATCTCAAACTTCAATTTAATCCATTCAGGAATGGATTGCAAAATAAAAAAGGATAGAAATAATCCTACTTTAATATATCTTTCCATCACAAGTATTGTGGAAAGTCCCTATGCCTAGAGGGTTTTAACTTTTTGACAATAATGTATTTTAAAGAAAGAATTGTAGCTAGAACTTTGTTGAATAGCCTGACTACGAGATTTTGCCACACTATGGTGAAAAAAGGCAGAGATTATGGATTAACATTTCAACATGGGTAGAAATCATGGAGATATCGCTACGATGGAAAGGTGGAAGTTTTTTACTTCCATGATTGAAATCATCCACGTATTAAAATTGGCTAGTGAAAGCCAATTTTCACTAGCGCATTGATAACGTGTATCTTGTTGTTGTAATCCAATTTTAAACTTGCTATCAAGTGGTCCAATAAACGCACAGAATGAATCTAAACTTAATATTGGATTTAACGATGTCGATGGCTAGTACAGTAAAGTATACTATCGATTTCAATATCCAATTCAATATGAACTTAAGCAAGATGGCTCATCGTATCGATATATTCATTAAATTGCATGAAATGGGTATTATCAACTTGGGGCCAGCCAGCTGGTGTTGTGTAAGCAAGTCTAAAAGGTTTCATTAACCCGGGATAATTACCCTTGATACCAATAAATAAACAGGATGGGGTAGAACTCCATCGGTAGCTTAAAGTACTGTAGAATTGAAAAAGGAATCTAGTGGAGGTTTAAATTTATCATCTACTCTATCATTATTGAAATTACATGATGACAGCTGTGATGTCTAGTTTTCAGCCGACGGTAATATGCCATTTTCAATAGCATTGGATCATCGATCACTGTTGTGGTAAAATTAATTCAATGTTGATGTCTACCATTGCCTAAAATGAACCCTTAGCAATGGAAGGAAAGACAGCAAAAAAGGGGGAAAAAAATAAATAAAATTAGATTAGCGTCAAGGGGAGAAAAGAGAAATAAAAATTCTTTTAAAAAGACTTTGATTTAGCTGTAACAGCATCAATAGTCCATCACGTAGAAATGTTATTGAATACGGCCAGAATAAGACCGGATTAAATCCATTTTTATTCTTGTTTCAATAGATCATCAATCATTGATGACATCCAGTTATTAATAGAAAATTGTGTAGGAGATTTTTGATTTTAGCACCTTAAAGTGAATCAAGGCAAAAGTTTGTTCGACTACAACCAGGATTGTCAATTTGACAGTTGAATAGAATAGTTTTCAACACCCTCTATCAATGCAGTCATGAGTGCGTTTTCTTTCCTTAATAGCTGGTTGATGGAAATGATTCAGAAATTGCTTGACAAAGTGGTGCAACATACAGACATGCATCAAAGCGATTCTTCATCCTTTTCCAATGTTTTTCTCTGTCATAATTAATGAATTGAACCGCATAAGAAATGGGAGGGATTTTCCATTGGATTACTGGCCAATTTGATTATGAATAATGAGGGATGTGGGATAGAAGCCATGTCTGATTATGGCCAAAATATGGAAATTTCTCTCATTTGTACAAGACAGCCTATTAGCTTTTTACTGGACAGGCACATTGATTATTGGGATTGGATTTGTTAGGTTTAACAGTAATGTTATCCTTGGCCCCCAAAACTGGTTAACGGTCAACAATGGAGTATTTTTTTTCTCTCTCCTTGAAACTGTGAACTGTGATGGAGAGAAGAGTTCAAAAATGGCCACGCGTGCAGTAAGGATCGCCAAGCATTGATAAGGATTTATTAATGTTATTTCCTAGTCAATGATGGACAGTAGTAGAGTAGCGTTGATCATCATTTCATTTGTCTAATTTATGGAAAAGGCAAGCATGACCTTAATGTAAGATTGGGAAAGGAGAAAAATGGTACGAGCGCATTCACAATAATGTAAAGCAAAATTTCAATGTTGTCAACAAAAATGATCTGATCGCGCTGTCAAGGCATGAAAGTTTAAATCAGATCGGAAAAATGCATTAACATGCATTTCATACAACATTGCTTGTATCTACTAGCGCCTTCATCATTTAGGTTATCTTTTCCATCTTGCAAGTCAGCGATGGAGAAAAATTTATGATGGCATTGATGGGAAAAAAAAAAAAAAGATAGATTATGAATGATGGCAGAAAGAAAAATAAACAACGTTGTTTATGATCGATTCCATCATGACAATATTGCATTTCTTGCGAATTTTATCATTATCCAATGGACTGATTACTATTGATTCTCATCTCATGGCTATTTTCATGGCGTTAAAGAGTTTTCTTGTCCCATTTACCTTCTTGAACGTAGCGAAGGAAAGGTATTGGGGAAAAATGGTTAGACGATTGTACGTGATGACGTTGTTATCGACAAGTATCGTCATGATCAGGAGAATTTGGATCTTTAATAAACTTATACCCGACTGATTGACTCCATTTTACCTCTTCATTGGGTAGGAAGGATGTTGTTGAAGGTTAAAGATAGAAAAGGACTTTGTTGAAGGAAAAAGGGGATGGAAAAAAATGAATTTTGAAGAATGAAGAGAGTGTCCAACTGTGGACGAAACTTGTTGCTGCATGTCGGATATTGTCAAGACGGCGGAGGCAGGATGAATTGTTGGACAAGACAAGCAGTTGAGAAAGTGCAGAAAAACAACAAGAATTGAATGGATTGTATCCCATCATGACTAGACTTACCTTATTTAATTCTCGAACCGATTCTAAACTATCGATATATAATTTATCACGATAGAGCGCTTTGATGGATTTTTCGATATAGGGCAGCGTTCTAGTGTTGACATAGTAAGCACATAAACCAGCGCTAAGGGTATACATGACAGCGACGATGCAATAGACGATGAGGTAGAGATTGATGGCCGTAAAATAGACGATAAAAGTGGACGAAATGATCAAGTTGAGGTAGAAAAGGAAAAGGCAAATACTGGCTAATGTCTTATACTTGGGCGAATGGTAGCCAACAAAGGCTCCAAGTAAATGCAAAGGTTCAATTACTTCTTCAATAATATGATTACTGGGTCTCTCCACTTTCTTATTGCGTCTGGTTACAACGCCGCGCTCAGAGGCAGCGATAGTATCACGACTTGAGCACCAAATTTTCTTGGAAGGGTCGACCACTTTGACTTGGGTTTGTGTCGATGCCATAGGAGAAGAAGAATCAGCCATTGTTAATGGCGATAATCAATGGATAGTTCGCTTGTTTGGTAGTAATTTAATGGATAATTTGGGGGGTATTTTTTCCCCTCTTTCTCTCTCTCTCTCTCTCCAACACGATGCAAGAATTCTTTTGAATTGGATCACCAACAAGCAACCACTGAGATGGGTGATGATCAATTTAATTCAATTACGCCTACAATTAACAATTCAATCAGTATTTTAAGCGATCAATCCGTTTCAATTTGTTCTTTTTCTATGCATCAATGCAGTCAAGAAGAAAAGTTCTTGCAGTTTTTCTCATGCAAACGATGCCAACTGGAAAGCGCTAATGGAGGATTTGCAAAGGGTTTAATGGCGTCCTTGTTGTTGGCCGCTACCACTGTGTGTGTGTGACTGTGTGTGTGTGTGACTGTGTGTGTGTGTGACTGTGTGTGTGTGTGACTGTGTGTGTGTGTGACCGTGTGTGTGTCTGACTGTGTGTGTGTGTGACTGTGTGGTGGGCTGATGACGAGGGTCGGTTGTTATGGCTGACTCGGGGTCATGACGTCAGCAGATGAGAATGAATGATTAATTACAAAGAAAAACAATTGCAAAGCAGTATTTGGTAGAAGACTGTCCCTTTCCACACTTTCAACAGCATACAATACCCATGGGAAAATGGGGTAAAGAGGGTCCAATATCGGCCATCTTCCTGTCTTGATACAGTGCCTGTACCATCTTTCTTTTGGACGGACAGACATTGGAGGTGTCCATCAAAATCTTGTTCTTGTGCCAAAGTAGACTAGTAGCTAGGCCTTGGAAATGATGTTCCAATCTTGCAAAATGGATTCCATTTCTTCATTTCCATGCAACGGAAGAAGGCCAATTGAAGGATAAAACTTGAATTTATAAAATCAATTGCGATAAAACAACATCTATTCATGCATATAGCATAAGTACACACACACACTCTACAGGCATGTATTTTAACATGGTTTGTTGTGCAATGGAACCAGCACAAGAGAGGGGCTCTTTGCCTACAAATAATGTCACCTGCTAGCTTGCCTCTGTGTACGACACTGTATACTATACAGTAGCACTTGTAAAACGTCATACAACGGTATAAAATGGAGGAGAAAATGGGCTGACTCAAAAATGAGAATGTTCCCTGAAGCGGAGAGCAAGTAGAGATTCCACTCGTAAAATGATTGCAAAACATGATCTCTCAAGGGTCACCACTGTCACTAAGCCACTAGCGAACATTACAGGATGTGTGGAAAGACACTTGAAAAATTCATTTCCATTTGCTTATCCCAATGATCTCTCAAGGGTGCCTCACTTCACGTAGTCACTCTACGATACTATACTATACCTGGGGTACACTATGTCATCATTTAGTGAAAAAATGCCCCAGCCATGACTAGGAATCAACAAGATACTTGAAAAATTTATTTCCATTTGCTTAAGAGTACAAATCTCTCAAGGGTACCTCACTTCACGTAGTCACTCTACGATACTATACTATACCTGGGGTACACTATGTCATCATTTCGTGAAAAAATGCCCCAGCCATGACTAGGAATCAACAAGACACTTGAAAAATTCATTTCCATTGGCTTTTGCCAATCATCTCTTAAGGGTACCTAACTTCATGTAGTCACTCTGCTGTACTACACCTGTATAATTCACTCCCCAAAATGTCTCAACAACTTTCTCTGCGCAAAACCCATGTCGCCCTGGACCAGAACAATAGCAGACTTGTACCTGGAAAAAAAATTTTCTCTCTAGTTGGTAAACAAACGAGCAGGACAGTCCAGATCAGAACGGTTCGGTTCGGTCCGGTACAGTAGCTTGAATTCAGCACTGCTGCTGTACACTGCGCAGTACAGCACAGGCTTGCGTGGACGAGCGGACGGACAGCACCACAATCAAGTGTCATTTATGAGCAGCCCCGGCACCCCTCGACTAGACCGTTAACCTTCAGCATCTCGTCGATCGATCATCATCATTCTTCCACAACAACAACAACCTCTACAGTATGGCAGGAATTAAAGGTGAATTTTGTTGGAATCCAATTCTCTTCTTACACGGTACTCATCATACTAATTCAATTTCTCTTGACTCTATCGCCATTCCAATATGATCGCTATGGGATAATACTGCGACGATTTATTGGGTATCCATTCCTTCTGGACGTCGATCCTATCGGGTTCTTGTCCTCTTGTTGCATCCTTTGGATTGAATTACGACGCCAGGTGAATTTTGTTCAAATCCAATTCTCTTCTTACACGGTATACATCATACTAATTCAATTTCTCTTCATTCTATCCCCATTCTAATATGATCGCTATGGGATAATACTGCGACAATGTATTGGGTATCCATTCCTACTGGACGTCGATCCTATCGGGTTCTTGTCCTCTTGTTGCATCCTTTGGATTGAATTACGACGCCAGGTGAATTTTGTTCAAATCCAATTCTCTTCTTACACGGTATACATCATACTAATTCAATTTCTCTTCATTCTATCCCCATTCTAATATGATCGCTATGGGATAATACTGCGACGATGTATTGGGTATCCATTCCTACTGGACGTCGATCCTATCGGGTTCTTGTCCTCTTGTTGCATCCTTTTGATTGAATTGCGACACCAGCGTAAGTTGTTCATTATAATCATGGCCATTTCAATCAGTTGTAGTCAAGTCCATGGATGCCATCAAAGATGGTACATGGCGTCCTTACCGACACTTTATTCCTATTTACTACTATCCTTGATCACTTTCAAAACATCCATTCTTTTGCTTGTACTGGGCTGTATGCATTGAAACTCGGCCGTCATTTAGCCATCTTCACTGTCAATACACCATTACAAATCGGCTCGAGCAGACTTCATTGATACCATCCAAGACAGTATCTACAGTCCGAAACTAGACTCTATTCCTATTCTGCCCTTGATCAGTTCAAATCATCTGTTCTTTTGCTTGTATGCCTTACAATTTGATCGCCATTCGATCGTCTCCACTGTCAATCCTAAAGCCTACAAATCCTTTTCTTTAACTTCGATTGTGACGTCTTGAACGCGATTGCGTGATGCATAGTCAATCAAGAGCAATGTCCTAGTCTAATGTTGTGTATGGAAATGCCGCATCAGAAGTCAAACCGCGTTACCATGACTGGTACTACCAGTACCAGTAAAAGTAGCACGATGACGTAATGGACAAAATGGCCCATCCAAAACATTATCGATTAGCAATGCAATCGATAATAAATTTAACATTAAAACCGGACTACCCTTCTGTAGTGATATCTCGACTTTAGTTTACGTTGGAAAGGATGTATTGATCCTCTCTATACAATCATAGACAAACAGTGACTTATAATGACTTTGAAATACTGTGGCTTCTACATCCGTTTTGCTAAATTCATTCCCTTATTTTTTCTTCCCTACTCTAGCCTTGTCGCAATTACGTTTTCATTCGCTTGTGGTATCCTCTTGGATGTCCTCGGATGTGCATTACCTGAATATGAGTAAGTACCGATAATTTTGACTAGTCAAAGATTCAATTGATTGATTGTAAAATGAAGAGAATACGATCGATTGATTGCTTAATGATCGTAGGATGATTGAGAAATGGCTTGATTGCCTAGAACAACGATCGCTAAATAATTGTTATGCTAATAAAAAATTTATTACAAAGTTATAACATCGTCATTCATTCTCTTTTTCTTCAATATTTTTTAGTTGTTGGTGGCCTATGTTTATCGGTAAGTGAATGTCAAAAGCGGTAGGAAAGGACTTATGGAATGGCTACATTGCTATGATATTCTTATATCAGCGTATTGAGTATACTACATACATTAATATAGAATTAATTAGATACAGAGATAGAATTAATGATTCTTTTCAACCACAGTTATCTTTTATGTCTTGGCACCGATACCCATCATGATTGCTAATCGACTTCAAGGGGATTTTGGCACGGAGAGCGGGTACGATCATGTAATCAATGTCCATGACGATACTTTGATACTATCGACGCCTTTACTTTCTAGTTACCGATTCTTTTCAAAAAGATGTCCATTAACTTAATCACTTACTAACAGTAATTTACTTTACCAAGAAATTAATCTTTCTACGCGTACCATCGATCGATGTGTATAAAAAATCTTGCCATTTGGGTGATAAAATTGGACATACAGTATTTCATAATTGTTTATGGTCGTAGTGTAGTAAAAATAGAGATGAATATAGATTGTACAGCAGACGATACTAACTATAACGTAACCATATTACTGTATGCGTATGTGATATTCATACTACTATTGACACTGATGGATATACTGCACCAGGCAAGAGTACATCTTGATATCTTTCACTTTGCAGAGTATAGTTGAATTAGCGGACTGTTACTAGGCAAAGTCTATGCATACAATAAACTTGAACTTGCTCCAACTTTCTCGAGTTATAGTGACATTGTACGATATCACAGCAATTATGACGGTAGACCATATGGTAGAGCATTACTTCTCATCAACAATAAACCTGAATAAATGAGAAATGATATCAAATGTGTCTAGAGCAATTTTACCTGGTAATAACATCATTTAACTGCTGCGGTACTCTTATTCCTTTCGATAGTGTTGGTAAGGATATAGCAATATACTGCACCGCGGTATTTGTCACTTCAGGTTTTGGTAAGTACTGGCTAATAATATTTTTACTTTCAACTCTTATTATGAACTAAACCGTCATCACAATACAAATACTTGAGGAAATTTGCTACCACTAATGCATCTTTCCATTCTTACCATCATCCTACAGCATTTCCTATGCTTTTGGCTCACACTAAGATTGTAAGTAATTGTTACCGTATCGTGATTCCATCTTAATACAGCAATTCACGGAATAACACAAATTCAGTTCTAACTACAATCATTGAATGCGCATATCAACATCACTGTCAATTTAATTGAATAGATTCAACCTGGTGCTATGGGATTAATACTTGGTGGCTCCGTAATCGTCTACTTGACTATATTGGCATATAGCAAAATATTTAACAAATCGGACGATCTCTGGTAGCGCGAAGATGAGCACTTTCCACAAGACACATGACGAACATTAAATTAAGAGGCTATACTTTGATACCATCTGGTGTTGGCGACAGCATTTGCCACCAACTGCACTAACTTGTTGTCTTTTTCTAATTGTGGCCCTCTTTATGATACATTAAGCTCTTTCTTAATATTTACCCTCTTAGTCTTTGACGAAGAAGGTTATTTCCTCTTCAAAATTAGCTACGGAGTAGTTATCTATTCTTAATGTACAAAAAAATGTGTGATATCATGAAGAATTACAATGTAAACCACTACAATAGAGTTGAATATAAAATGTATTGCACTTTTTCATTTTTGAAAAATATCTACCGATAGCAACAAATTCAACTTTACTATTCTTCTTGCATAGCTTTTAGATTAAAGCGAAATATTTACTTATATTATACGATACAATTTCGGGCTTAACTATCTACAGTGAACGTACGGGTATAATATGTAAGTTAACGATAAATGTCATTTAGCCTATCCTAACTGTAGCAAGTGTAGCATCAACACTATCGCTACAGCATGCAATGTAAATATAGGACTACAAATAAAATTAGCATTATTACTTACTTTACAATTTGGATTTGGTAATATAGAAATTATATCATAAAATGATTTCAAAGCCCTATCGAAACTCTCGCCTATCGCATGTTAGCATTGATACAACAGTCAACCTTCTAACAATCTCGTTCACAATTAGTCGTTAGTAGAAAGCGGACATTTTATTAATCAACAATTAAAATTATCTTGACATCTACTGCAGTCAGAATCGAAGATATCATTACTACTATAATCTAAAATTTATAGTAATACTAAAGTTGATAGAACACTTCTTTACGCCTATCTGTCATCAAAAATACAAAAACAAGCAGAAACAATAGTTTTAAATACAGCTGAAAAAGGCAAGGCAATGCCAACGTTAGAAGTAGAAGCTGAATTATCCAATGATTCAAGTAAAATTTAAGATCATGGTTAATAATTTATAAATCAGCATTGATTTTAAGTCAATATTAATCGCTACTCAAAGTTCATTACAACTACAAATGAAATGATTATGCAAAATTGAAACCAATTTTCATCGCAACAAGCACGATCATGCAAATTTCATTGCAGGACAAGACTTAAACTCTAAACAGGATATCATCACATAAAATAAAGTTTGAAATCAATTAGCAGCCAAATCAATCATTCATACAAGTAACTATCGAAAATTGTAATTTTTAGTTAAAGTAAAAATGGTAAATGTCTCACTGCTTGACAAGGTATCAAGAAAGCTAGCTATTACGTGTATATCTCAATAGTTAAAATATACTGTATTTGTCAAATAGAATATCATTCAGAAATTCATTGAAAAGTTTCGGCTTTTCGACTTGCTATTTCTTTTACTGATACAAATTTCCTATAGAAAGAAGTAATAATAATACTAAATAAGCAGTGACAGATCTAGTACAATATGCTATTCGTAATAAGTAGCATCTCGTAGTATTTAAGTAAGTAGTGATTTATCATGTAGAATTTAAAATTATTTTCTATTCTTACGAATGTAGTAATATATACTAGGATGAAATTTCAAGTCCTATATCACGTGAGACATTTTACCTAATTCTCTTTCACTTTTTATTTTGCATCGGTAGTCGCTGCTGCAGCTATAAAATAATTCGTAAAGTGCGAGATTTAGGATTGTGTAATAAATTAGAGGGATGTGATGACATTAATGAAATGGATATGTAATTTGATTCTAAGCTTCAATAGTAAGTAGTAGTTTTGACTATAAGCGACTGATGTTAACACAATTATTTTAGATTTAATCAATAAATTATTGTACCTTTCAGTTCATCCATGCTAATGCTATTTTCATAAATGTCGTCTTCATCTTCTACCTCTCCATTTTGCCTAAATTAATAGGCCATATTTTTGATTAGCTACCCTGATACTATGGGCTATGGGATGAATTATACAATCATGATAGCACAGAGAAGTCATCAGCTCTTCAAAAAATGCTCAGGAATACTATATTACCCATCATTTTTCTTTTTTTCGCCATTTGCTTCTTGATCTTCATCGGTACCCAAAACTGGACGTGTTGGTGGCCTACGTCGTGGTGGGCCAGCTGCACGAGTTTTAGTGATATGATCGAGCTTTTGACCTTCTTCTACATGTATTTCTAAAGATGCTTCTGCCACTTCTTCCTGCTTTTAACAAAATTTTATCATTCATGAGAATTCAATATAGTTAATTTTACTCCTATAATATTGCTTGTTGTTAATAGAATGGCAATAGCGGTGGCACGGTTTACTTCAAAATTAAAAAATTATACAGAATTACTTTCTCCTCTTCTGGCTGCTTTTCTCCAACTGCTTTCTCTTCAGCTACCTTCTGTTTAGACGACTTTGAATCGCCTGAGCGCTTAAAGAACCCCATGAAGTTTGTTTTAATATTGGACGTTTTAATGTTGGGGGTTTTGATTTTGAATCCTCGTTTTTTTTCAGTTGTTATCTTTCCTTCGTCGGTTCCTTCAACTTTAGCATCTACAATTTCAGTATAGATTTGCTCTGACTCTGCTTGTCCTTTGTCTACTTCATCACTAGCACCTTCTGTAGCCGACAAGTCTGCCATAGATGTCGGTCTTTTTCTCCGTTCATTGCGATTAGCAGCCGATAATGTTCGCGTTCGATACTATAGATATAGAAATGGAATTCAAGGCTATAGAATAATTCTGTATATACAATTACGAGTAAACGCCAAATTAACGCCATTCATAATCTTTTGCAGGTTATAATTGTATTTTAAAACGTCTATTTATCCTGCGATACTAATTAACTATGATAACTTTGCAAGTATTAGTTGACATGTTCTCGCCAATGTTTAATAACCGGTAGACAATATTTGTGCTCGATACTATAGATATAGAATGGAATGTAGGCTAAAGAGTAATCCTGTATGTATACAAGCAAGTGTAAAATCAACTTCAATTATAATCTTTGCAAGTCCATATTCATATTTTAAGGTATTTAATTAATCCAACAAGATGAAATAATTATGAGAGCTTTGCTTTGCAAGTGTTAATGGATACCTTCGTATCAGTACAAACTATATGTATACTAACCTTTTACAAGCGATATTTAAGCTGTATATTTAATACTCAAATGGTCTAATTATTGCAAATATTTTAATATTTTTATACTGTATAAATTCTTATTACCGCAGCAATTCCTGGAAGAGTAAGTAAAGCAATGTCACCAGATTCTCTTTCAGAAGTTTCAGTTTTCGCGGCCTTCTTGATATCTTCTTCTATTGTTGATATTTCTTTAGCATAAATCTCCAAAATAACATCAACTACAACATCTGAAATTGCTGACATGATATCCAGAGATCTCTTGCTGTTTATAATAATTTGACATAAACACAATCAGGAAAGAAGATTAATAAATAAAAGATATTTATTTCATGGCTTCGCAAATAAACAATCTGATGATCATCATCATCTTCCTAATTGTCTTGTGCAAATTTCAAACCTAGTGAACATTACCTGGTTTCATATTTAGAATAGTGTATGACGTGATTTAAGACCTGATCTTGAATCTGAAATTCCTCAATATTAGATTTTTCATGGCAAATAGTAGTCAACTTTTCTTGTTGATCCTAGGAAAATACATAACATTTCCTTTTATTAAAGATCAATATCTATCCAATGATGGATAAAGATTTAATTCAGTATTATCAGATATTTAAATAAATGATTAAAAAGTCGATTATTTTACAATATTTAGTGCAATAAATAGATACTTATTAGATAATATAATAATTTAGGTCTACCCTAATTATAACATAAATCATGTATTTTACGTGGATACGTATAAAGTATCTTATTAGCCTTACCTTTAAGTCGAAATCTGGTGCCAATTGCTTGATAACTTTGTTAGCGAGTGATTCTGAACTCTCCTATCAGGACATAAATCATCTATTACTTAAAAGGAGCAGCAGAATCTTGGTACAATCAAACAAAAAGTTTAAAATCTGCTAAAAGCTAGAAAAACGATCCGTTTCCTATCTTTATGCATACGTGGAACTCATGAGACAGATTAGTTCAACTACGATAGCATCTATCCATGCATAAATACCTTTAGAATAGCTTCTAATGTAGTTTTTGAACTTTCTGCAACTTTAACAACTCCATCCTTTAAGCGATCTTTTAAAGCTTTATCGACGTTGTCTTCAAATTCTAGTCTCAACTTATTTGACCACTAGGATAAATGTTATACGTAAGAGTAATGACAGCATTAGCCATGGATTAAAAACTATTGCTACTACGAGATCAGCAAAAAAGCTGTTCACTGATTCACTGGATGAATAATCAAGTAACAATAATATTATTCGTAAGGAGAAGGGAGAAAAAGATGAACCTGTTTGATATCTCTTGTTGCTTGTATTAATTTATCAACTTTGATGCTGTCATATTTTACTCCTGCAGCTTTAGCTTTAACTGTTATTTCTTCTAGAGAGTAAATTGCTGAATCAAGTTTCTATAGTTCAATAATAGCAAGAATAATAATATATTTATTAATCTAATTTACTTATAGAGTGAAATTGATCGTTAAGACACAATAACTTGGCTATGGGTAGCCCTTTTTGCTCACTGGAGCAATTGATCATATTATTACCAGCATTTTAAAGGAAATAAACTTACATCAAAAATGGCATAACTCATGATACTTTCTTCAAGTCGATAGGTTGCTTCTGCAAAAGCATTATTTTCCGTGTTATTTCTCTTAAGTAATTCTTGAATCTAAAGAATGATTAAAAGTAGACAATAAAGTTTATAAGAAATGACTATTATAAATCCATTACTGAAATTGAACAGATTTCAACTTTGAATATTAACTAACCTCTCTTAAATGTCTATTTGTTGAACTTTTCAGTACTCCAGAGGCATCGTGAACTGGAATTGGCATAAATTTCACCGCATAATTGCTAATATAG